TGTTAGACGCTTTTATCCAAAGCGACTTACATACTCAATACTGAGGGCAATCCCCACAGGAGCACTTTGGGGTGAAGTGTCTCAGGGACACAACGACATGCTGACTGCAGTGGGGTTTGAACCTGAGCTCCCCTGATCCCAACACCAACACCAACACACTAGCCCACTGCGCCACACGCCTCCCCTTATATATTATTATATTTGCATTATATTGCTCTCCCCGACCACATGAGAGCACCACAGACAGTGGAGGCTTTTAAAAAAGGCTTCAAAACCCATCTCTTCAAAAGAGCCTTTGCCTAGACCTTCTTACCACCCTTTTATTTTATTTCTATTGGTTTTTTTGTATTGCTTTTTATTAATTCTACAGTGTTGTGTAATGTTTATTTATACTGTTCATGCTCACTGCTTGTAGCACTTCGGGATTTGAAATCAAATATGAAGTGCTTTATAAATGGAACCCATTATTATTATTATATCGTATCTGAATAAAGAGGATTGGGCCGTGAATACAGGCTCGTCTGCTTCCAACAACAATTGAAATAAATTAAAATAAATAATAATACAAAATAATAATATCTTTAGCATTAGCCATATGAAATCTAATAAGTTTGCGAATGCAACCATTTGATTCCTCGATGAATTAAATACATTTGATTACTTTTCTAAAAAAGGAAAATATGTGTTAATTAGATCAAAGAAAATGTAAGATAGAAAGAGAAAATATAAATAACCTGTTTGTTTTCAGCAACATTTAGATCAGTTATTAGATCAGAAACACACTTCTTCTCTCTGGCCTTCTAGTTAGAGCGGAGCACGACTCCTGACTTTTCCCTGTGTTTTTTTTTTATATATATATCTGTTGTAATTTATTGTCTTTTATTGTGATTGTAGTAATGTGTTTTTATTACATGTACAGCACTTTGGCTCGACCAAAAATCGCTTTTAAATCTGCTTTATAAATAAAACTTGATTTGATTTGATTTAGTTATTTATTCAATACATATTTTTCTCAATAACTAAATAAGTAATATTTTATTTATTTGAATTTGTATTTATTACTCCCCGACACTTGGGGTCTGTGGCTCTGATTGGTTCGCTGGCCGGTTCTGTTGTGATTGGTCAACCTGCTTAGAGATGTCCCGCCCCTTAGCGTACACGTACAATGTGTTGGAGCGCTAGCCAATAGGAGCGCGAGGGTTGAAACACCCCACAGGAATAGGGCCCCTTTAAATGACTGGAACACATCAGGATTTGACCTCTGACCTCCTGTGACCTTCATAGAGAGATGGAGGTCATAAAGAGAGATTTATGAGGAGGGTCACTATAACCCCCCCCCCCCATGCTTTATTACTGACCCCCACCATGTGTTACTCTATAGTCATATGAAGAGGTGGAGAGTAAAGGACATTTAATTAAGTAGTGTATTGAAGTCCACCTGTGGTATTATTGTTATATATTATTTTATATAATCACACACACTTTTTAGGCCGTGATGGTTAATAATCCAGATTTAAAAAAAGACCACACACACACACACTAGAGGAGTTTAGAGGATAGCAGAGGATAGCAGAGGATAGTAGAGGATAGCAGAGGATAGCAGAGGATAGCAGAGGATAGCAGAGGAGTTTAGAGGATAGCAGAGGATAGCAGAGGATAGTAGAGGATAGCAGAGGATAGCAGAGGACAGCAGAGGATAGCAGAGGATAGCAGAGGATAGTAGAGGATAGCAGAGGATAGCAGAGGACAGCAGAGGAGTTTAGAGGATAGCAGAGGATAGCAGAGGATAGCAGAGGATAGTAGAGGAGTTTAGAGGATAGCAGAGGATAGCAGAGGATAGTAGAGGATAGTAGAGGAGTTTAGAGGATAGTAGAGGATAGCAGAGGATAGTAGAGGAGTTTAGAGGATAGCAGAGGATAGCAGAGGATAGTAGAGGATAGCAGAGGATAGCAGAGGAGTTTAGAGGATAGCAGAGGATAGCAGAGGATAGCAGAGGACAGCAGAGGACAGCAGAGGATAGCAGAGGAGTTTAGATGAGTTTAGAGGATAGCAGAGGACAGCAGAGGATAGCAGAGGAGTTTAGAGGAGTTTAGAGGATAGCAGAGGATAGTAGAGGATAGCAGAGGATAGCAGAGGACAGCAGAGGATAGCAGAGGAGTTTAGAGGATAGCAGAGGATAGCAGAGGATAGCAGAGGACAGCAGAGGACAGCAGAGGAGTTTAGAGGATAGTAGAGGATAGCAGAGGATAGCAGAGGATAGCAGAGGACAGCAGAGGAGTTTAGAGGATAGCAGAGGATAGCAGAGGATAGTAGAGGATAGCAGAGGATAGCAGAGGAGTTTAGAGGATAGCAGAGGATAGCAGAGGATAGCAGAGGACAGCAGAGGACAGCAGAGGACAGCAGAGGATAGCAGAGGATAGTAGAGGATAGTAGAGGATAGCAGAGGATAGCAGAGGAGTTTAGAGGATAGCAGAGGATAGCAGAGGATAGCAGAGGAGTTTAGAGGATAGCAGAGGATAGCAGAGGATAGCAGAGGATAGCAGAGGACAGCAGAGGACAGCAGAGGATAGCAGAGGAGTTTAGAGGAGTTTAGAGGAGTTTAGAGGATAGTAGAGGATAGCAGAGGATAGTAGAGGAGTTTAGAGGATAGCAGAGGATAGCAGAGGATAGTAGAGGAGTTTAGAGGATAGTAGAGGATAGCAGAGGATAGTAGAGGAGTTTAGAGGATAGCAGAGGATAGCAGAGGATAGTAGAGGATAGCAGAGGATAGCAGAGGAGTTTAGAGGATAGCAGAGGATAGCAGAGGATAGCAGAGGACAGCAGAGGATAGCAGAGGAGTTTAGAGGATAGCAGAGGACAGCAGAGGATAGCAGAGGAGTTTAGAGGAGTTTAGAGGATAGTAGAGGATAGCAGAGGATAGCAGAGGATAGTAGAGGATAGCAGAGGATAGCAGAGGAGTTTAGAGGATAGCAGAGGATAGCAGAGGATAGCAGAGGACAGCAGAGGATAGCAGAGGAGGTTAGAGGAGTTTAGAGGATAGCAGAGGATAGCAGAGGATAGCAGAGGATAGCAGAGGAGGTTAGAGGATAGCAGAGGATAGCAGAGGATAGCAGAGGATAGCAGAGGAGGTTAGAGGAGTTTAGAGGATAGTAGAGGATAGCAGAGGACAGCAGAGGATAGCAGAGGATGCTGAAGTCATTTTCTGGGTAATACTCAGACTCTCTTGCCGTCCGTGAAAAGACTGCAGGCTCTTTCTTCAATTCTCCACAGGGTCTCCAGATCCATCCTGAGCTCACAGACAGGCCAGTGAACTCACCACCGACCCAACGACTGACACTGAGGGGACAAGCATCTGTGTTTCCTTCAAGACTTCACATATGCCCTGTTTCTCTAAATTAACCAGATTATTTATGCAGAATTAGGAGAAAAGTATTCATTAAAAAGGGAAGAAACTGAAGCAGATTGAACAGCTTGCTTGGAGGAATTCTTATCGTAATTAAGAGCTTCTTTTCAGATATATTTATATGTTTGCATGAAAACCAAGCCCCCAGGAAGTGCGCCGGACTATGATGAAAATATTCGTTGTGTCCAAACGGCGGTACTGCAACTCCCGTATCAGTCCGTGACGTCACTGGGCCCAGAAAGACTCTTTCCCATTGACTAACATGGGAAAGAGTCGTCTGTAAATCGGTGGATAATTTTTTTTAAACTACCCAGTATGAACATTTGTATCGCCCTTATTAAAAACATTCGGTCCTCAAATTGTAAAATGTGCTAATAACGTTATTCTGAGAGTTATTTTCCTCTGCATTATGAACACACATCTGAGTGGGAGCTCGGGGGCGGGGCTTAAGGGGCGACTCACCTGCGCATGCTCTATGAGCGCACATACGGGTTCTTCTGCTCTGACAGCTAGGCATGATGGGTAATCTGTGACGTTTCGCTCTCTCAAAAGTTGGGCCATTTTGTCCTCATTTCCATGTCAAAAAAGTCAGTTTGTCGTAAAACTGTTGAAATATAAGACTATGAAAAATACGCAACTAGAAAGACTACAAATCCCAGAGTCGCGTAAGTGACGTCATTAACGTTACACATTACACTCGTGTTACTCAACGAAACCTTGTAAAGCCGGTCCTGCATGCTGGCTCTTAGGAACCGACTCACTCCCCTTGTGTGTATGTACAGCTCTCAACATGCCCAGATTGTGATTTTCACCTCTTTTAATACTTTCCGCCTCATTCTGAAAGAAAGAAGTGAAATGTGCCAACGTGACGGCCGTCTTGGTGTGTGGTGCGAGACGGGAGATGTAGTTCATTGAGCGGTTCACACGAAAAAATGTGTTACTTCAGTTTTACGACACGTTTTTATTTTTTTGACTTGCAAAATTATCTTTTAAATTGACAAACATCATATGTGTAATTCGTGGCACAAGATAATCTTTCTCTCTCCATTGACTTCAATACATACTTTTTCCAAAATAAGGTCCCATGGAGGTCCCCCGGAAAGGGAGGGACTTCGCCTCTCTATAGGAAAGAACGAGACCCCGCCTCCCACGCTCTATCCAGTTCTTATTAAACATCCGTGATGAAAACCTTAGTCGTTATCTTGTTAATTCAGAGAAACAGAATGCATTGAGCGTTCAAACATTGAAAATAATAGAAGAGGTCATTTATAAATGTACCTTACACTGACATGGAAGTGAGGTGGGAAATAAAAACTGCTCCGGTTCTTAAAAAAGTCTTTATTTAGTATAAAGATTTACAATAGTTAATTTAAAATCATATAGGAATCCTTGTTATTATTACAGTCGTGCTACACACAGACATCTTTGTGCTACACACAGACATCTCTTCGTGCTACACACAGACATGTCGTCGCGTCGCACGCGGACATGTCGTCGCGTCGCACGCGGACATCTCTTTGTGCTACACACAGACATGTCATCGCGCCGCACGCGGACATGTCATCGCGCTACACACAGACATGTCATCGCGCCGCACGCGGACATGTCATCGCGCCGCACGCGGACATGTCGTCGCGCCCCACGCGGACATGTCGTCGTGCTACACACAGACATCTCGTCGTGCTACACACAGACATCTCGTCGTGCTACACGCAGACATGTCGTCGTACTACACGCAGACATGTCGTCGTGCTACACGCAGACATGTCGTCGTGCTACACGCAGACATCTCGTCGTGCTACACACACACATGTCTGCGTGTAGCACGACGACATGTCGTCGTGCCACACGCAGACATGTCGTCGTGCCACACGCAGACATCTCGTCGTGCCACACGCAGACATGTCGTCGTGCCACACGCAGACATGTCGTCGTGCCACACGCAGACATCTCGTCGTGCCACACGCAGACATCTCGTCGTGCCACACGCAGACATCTCGTCGTGCCACACGCAGACATCTCGTCGTGCCACACGCAGACATCTCGTCGTGCCACACGCAGACATCTCGTCGTGCCACACGCAGACATGTCGTCGTGCCACACGCAGACATGTCGTCGTGCCACACGCAGACATCTCGTCGTGCCACACGCAGACATGTCGTCGTGCCACACGCAGACATGTCGTCGTGCCACACGCAGACATCTCGTCGTGCCACACGCAGACATCTCGTCGTGCCACACGCAGACATGTCGTCGTGCCACACGCAGACATGTCGTCGTGCCACACGCAGACATCTCGTCGTGCCACACGCAGACATGTCGTCGTGCCACACGCAGACATCTCGTCGTGCCACACGCAGACATGTCGTCGTGCCACACGCAGACATGTCGTCGTGCCACACGCAGACATCTCGTCGTGCCACACGCAGACATCTCGTCGTGCCACACGCAGACATCTCGTCGTGCCACACGCAGACATCTCGTCGTGCCACACGCAGACATGTCGTCGTGCCACACGCAGACATGTCGTCGTGCCACACACAGACATCTCGTCGTGCCACACACAGACATGTCGTCGTGCTACACGCAGACATGTCGTCGTGCTACACGCAGACATCTCGTCGTGCCACACGCAGACATCTCGTCGTGCCACACGCAGACATGTCGTCGTGCTACACGCAGACATCTCGTCGTGCCACACGCAGACATCTCGTCGTGCCACACGCAGACATGTCGTCGTGCCACACACAGACATCTCGTCGTGCCACACACAGACATCTCGTCGTGCCACACACAGACATCTCGTCGTGCCACACTCAGACATCTCGTCGTGCCACACGCAGACATGTCGTCGTGCCACACGCAGACATCTCGTCGTGCCACACGCAGACATCTCGTCGTGCCACACACAGACATCTCGTCGTGCCACACGCAGACATCTCGTCGTGCCACACGCAGACATCTCGTCGTGCCACACGCAGACATGTCGTCGTGCTACACGCAGACATCTCGTCGTGCCACACGCAGACATCTCGTCGTGCCACACGCAGACATGTCGTTGTGCCACACGCAGACATCTCGTCGTGCCACACACAGACATCTCGTCGTGCCACGCAGACATCTCGTCGTGGAAGTGAAACCGTAAGAAATGTGGAAAATATCTTCTGGTATTATTGATTTCTTTGTTTTGTGAAAAGAGTAAGAAAAAGAGGTTAAACTGGTTCTGAGGAGATGGTGGGACGGCGTGTGGAAAAGAGACCTGAGAGATCTTTAGAAGTGGAACACAACAGAGGACTATAATCATCTTAAACTTTGGTTATCAGTGTTTCTGATAAAGCACTTCTTGTTGGATGGAGCTTCTCGTCATGCAGGAGAAACGGCTGCCACACGGCATGCATAGAGAGGTGCATCATGGGAAGACTTCACACAGCCGGCAGGTCGTCGTTAGCTGCCGGCGGCGCGCTGCAGCTAACATCACTCATCGTTGTCTGCAAGAGAGAGAGAGAGAGAGAGAGAGAGAGAGAGAGAAAGAGAGAAAGAGAGAAAGAGAGAAAGAGAGAAAGAGAGAAAGAGAGAAAGAGAGAAAGAGAGAGAGAGTCAATTAACACACAGAGAGAGAGAGAGAGAGAGAGAGAGCGAATTGATGAGAGAGTGGGTGTTTCTCAATTTCGAGGAAGGCTGCTCCAGAGCCACTATTTCAAGGATGCTACGTCATCGAGTCCCGCCGAAGGACTGTTCCAATGTCCAGGATCCTTGGAATTCTACCGAGGACTGAATCCTTCGTTGCGGGAAATTTCGAGGCTGCACATGTGTATCCTCCGCGGTCTTAAAATCCCCACAATGCTTTGCGCACGGACCAATTTCCAAAATCTTTGGCGGAAAATGTAAGGCGGGGCCTCTCATATGACGCACACCTGCACACCTGCTAGCCTGTTCCACTCTTCCTTCTCAGAATGCCAGGAAGGATTCTTGCCTCGCCTCTGAAGGACCTGACTCTGAAGACAAGGAAGCGTCCTCGACATTGAGAAACACCCAGAGAGAGGGAGACAATGTATGAGAGAGAGAGTGTGTACACGTATAAGACAAGCAAAAAATATATAAGGAACATTTTCAAAAAATATGTAGAAAATGTCCAAAAAAATTACAAATTTGAAAGAAAAATTTCTAACATGTTTAAGAATAAATGAAAGATGTTTGAAACACATTTCCAAAAAGATAATGAAAAATGTCAGAACATTTTGTGAAAATTCTGTCTGTCAGTAATTTGAGATGATTTAAATCAACCTTTGGCGTTGAGTTGAAGATAAAACGTATTAATTGTATATAAATATATATTTCCCTGACCCTCCTGGTACGCTCCGTCGGCCATCACCAGGTGCAGGATGTTGGGGTAGAGGTGCTGGTGCTCCGTCCCCAGAGTGCTGAACACCAGGCTGGAGCCCAGAGCCATGTTCTCATCCTCGTCCTCATGGATCGCCTGTAACAACAAGTCATCATCAGGTCTGTTTATCCTCATGTTGAATCATTAAAAAGGTCCCTTGCTTTATAAAGGAGTAAAATACAGGACAGAAGGTCGATGTGTATGATATGTTGTTGTTGTTGTTGTTGTTGTTGTCCCCACTTTGATCTTGTTGTAGGCCTCAATGAACTTCTCGAAGCCCATCTGCTGCTCCAGTCTGAATCTCAGCTCCTCCAGACGGCTGAAGATGCTGTCGCTGTGAGACGCCTCGCACACCCCCTCCTCCCCACTGCCGTCTGTAGGGGACATCGACATTTACAAACATCTACAGCGGGGCATCAGCGAGAGTGGAGGTAAAGAATAAGAAAACATTCCAAAGGTTTAAAAAATATATTAAAAAAAATTAACAAAACAAAAACATTCTGAAAATATTTTATCACAAAAAAAATTAAATCTGGAAAAGATTTCATAAAAAACTGAAAATATTCGAAAAAATTCGGGAAACTTCAACACGGGATTTAAAAACATCTACAACGGGGTATCAGCGAGAGTGGAGGTAAAGAATAAAACTAAACAGAGGCATCATGTCTTACATTAACGTGATAAGACTAGGAGAGATACGTTTAAATGAAAAGTGAAGCCATGTTGTGGATTTACAAAAACACAGTTTTCTGATCTTCTGAAACATTTAGAAGAAAACAACAACAACAGAGAAACTCCAACAAATTTCCCCAAAAATTATTTCTGTCTTTTTCCGGAAGAATTTTGTTAAAATAAAGAAATCTGAAAAAGTAAAAAAAGAAATAGGAAAATAAATTATCCGGAAAATGTAAAAAAAAAAAAAAGGAGTTTGGAAAATATTGGTTAAAGTGGACCTATCATGCTATATTATAATAATATAGTGTAGGACCATACCTATATAAGGCATATTTATACTTTAAAAAATACCAAACGGATCATGCATTTTAGCCATGCCTCATTTTGCTCAATTTGACAATTTCTAGCTCTGTTTTAGCAAGGGCTGATTCTGTGAGAACAGCACCACCTACAGGCCTGGCATATGTACTACAGCGTCTCCAGCGCTTTGGAACGGCAATGGCCGTGGCTGTCTCCTCCTGATTGGTGGAGTTGGCCCAATAGCCGTAGCGCCACCGTCCTGACGTCAGGACAGTGTTCAAATCTGGATCAGTTTTTATCAGATCCGTTGCAGCCCCTTTTTTAGAGATTTGGGTATGGAGGAAAATAGAGAGGGTTGTGTTTTCTGACACTTGGTGAGTTCCCTGGAACACCGGGGACACATATTCATGTAGAAAAGACGTACACAAGTGCATTTTGCATGATAGGTCCCCTTTAAGATAAAGAAATCTAAAAAAGAAAAAAAGGAAGTCCTGAAAATATTTTATAAAAAAAATAAAAATTCTAAAGAGATTTGATCAAATACAAGAAAACATTCTCAAAGATTAAACATTTAGGAGTTTAGAAAAGTTTGGTTAAAATAAAAAAAGAAAGAAAGGAAATGATCAAAACAAAAGAAAAAGTAAAAAAAAAATACAGTTTTTCTGGAAGATATTTTATCAAAAAAAATTGAGTTTAGGGTTAGGAGGGGTTAGGGTTAGGGTTAGGAGGGGTTAGGGTTAGGAGGGGTTAGGAGGGTTAGGGTTAGGGTTAGGAGGGGTTAGGGTTAGGAGGGGTTAGGGTTAGGAGGGGTTAGGGTTAGGAGGGGTTAGGGTTAGGAGGGGTTAGGAGGGGTTAGGGTTAGGGTTAGGAGGGGTTAGGGTTAGGAGGGGTTAGGAGGGTTAGGGTTAGGGTTAGGAGGGGTTAGGGTTAGGAGGGGTTAGGGTTAGGGTTAGGAGGGGTTAGGGTTAGGAGGGGTTAGGGTTAGGGTTAGGAGGGGTTAGGGTTAGGGTTAGGAGGGGTTAGGGTTAGGAGGGGTTAGGGTTAGGGTTAGGAGGGGTTAGGGTTAGGGTTAGGGGGTTAGGGTTAGGAGGGGTTAGGGTTAGGGTTAGGAGGGTTAGGGTTAGGGTTAGGGTTAGGGTTAGGAGGGGTTAGGGTTAGGGTTAGGGGTTAGGGTTAGGGTTAGGAGGGGTTTCAACCTTCACACCACAAACTCTTCCAAATGTTACATACAACAGTTAATGATGTAATCTGTAAATGTGTTGAATAACTCGGACTTTACGACCTTAATGTTTGATTTATTTAAATCTGATTTTCTCTCAGCTCTGAAGTTTGTAGTTTCTGCATTGTGTGTCCGATGGCCCTTAATGTCAATATATAATACTAACTGAATAATTATTATTATAAAACTCTTTTTTTTCAAGATTTTGTAAAAAAAAGAGAAAAGAAACATTCGGAAATATTTTATCACAAATAATACTTAAAAAAAGAAAAATAAGAAATCGGAAAAGTTTGGTTCGAATAAATAAATCGGAAAAAGTAAAAAAAGAAAAATATTTAAAAATAATAAGAATATTTTGCATCAAATATTGGGAAAATACTGAATGTCCCTTCTGTATCAGAGTGGCACGTGATAACAGAGGCCCCACGTGGCTGTGTACGTAGCCGGATGTCTGACTACATGGATGCTAGCTATGTTCCTCAGATTGGCAGATGACACAGAATCTAGAGAGATATATGACTGTCATGTTTGTTGCTTACGCAGGCCTTAGCTAATCTGAACTAATGTCAGAATACTGCTCTGAACCAGGAGTCCTCCATCTTGTTGAATGTAACGGAGCGTCCACACAGCAGCGTTAAAAAAAATCTTGGAACGCTTCTGCCCATTCACTTTGAATGGGGTGACGTCACTTTGCCTCACTGTTCGCTGAACTGCATTGTCCCTATTTACCTACCGGGATACAAACCGGAGGAGCCAGGCATGGAGGGAGGTGGCAGAGACAGTGGTAGGTTTTCGCCTGTTTGGGGAGTTTATATCCAGTTTACTTCAGCCTTTTTTGCTTCGTATGTCGGGGGCGGGAGATTCATGTGATTGGTTGTTGGTGCCTTGCTTGCAAAAAATCCCCAAGCTTCAGATACGCCCACCTCCAAGATTTTTTTAACGCTGCTGTGTGGACGGGCCGTAACTCCCTCTCTTGGATATCAGCATATCAAGGACTCTACTCTGGGAACTATTTGTCCCACGCAGCTCTGTGTGTGATGACTACTTCCATTCCAGAGGATAATAAATACATGTATCCTGAGATTGAAGCTCAAGCCGGGGACCAGTGATATTTTTCTAACATCATATATTAAACATATAACACTAACTGAATTATTATTATCTCCGTACCTGATTGCCACTCCTCGTTGAGCTCGCTGTTGCTCAGGTTCTCCTCGGCCCCGTTAGTGAGCGCCCCCCCGGCCTCTTCATCGTCATCTTCCTCCTCCTCTTCCTCCTCTTCATCCTCCTCTTCCTCATCATCCACAGCCATCCTGCAGTCCTGCTGGATCTCAGCTGATATCCTGAACAGTTCCTCTGGAGGGTTCCCGTTGAAGTCTCCTTTCCCCTCCTCCTCCTGCAGGAGAAGCTCCATGGAGGCCCGGATGTCCCGCAGGTCTTCATCCTCATAGGCGCTGAGGAGCAGGGGATATATTATTACTACAGATCATCTCTGATGGCTAGAAACCAGGGACAGCATCAGGGTGAGGGTAGCAGCAGGTTATTATGGGATGTCTCGGAGATGGAAATTGTAAAAAGTGACATTTCCGTCAGTTTATGTTTTTCTGACGAATTATGGGTGACAAACTCTTCCAGGGGAAACATGGCTTTATTCTAGATGTCTCATTTAAAAAATAAATCCTGTAAAAACATTAAATTCTGCGCTCCTCTGTTAAACCGGGAAGCCATGGATGACTCTGCTGAGACCTACAGTCACGTGACAACAATTCAGTAAATATATTACATTATGTCAAATATATTATCATTAAAAAATTCGATTTGCTTCTTTATTTGAGTCATGATTCGATGATTAAAGTGCATAATTTCCCTGATATCTACATTAAATATCACCATTATCAGGAACGCCTGTTTTCTAACCCCGTGTGTTTTCTACATCTCTTACTCCTCCGTCTCTGACTGCTCCTCATCCTTCGCCGCCTCCTCCAGGTCTTCGATCTCCAGAGGATTATCCGGAGCGGCGTTAGCATTGTTAGCATCGTTAGCTCCTGCTGATTCCTGCCGAGGGCTGAAGACCCGGCTCAGGTCCGGGAGGGAACAGGTCCTCAACATCTGTGACACAAGCAGAGGTCAATGCTGCAATGCACTCACACAGGAAGGGGGGGGGGGGGGGGGGGGGGGGGGGGTCAACCTTCAAACTTTTCCAAATGCAACATAAAAAAGTGAATAATCTGTAAATGTGTTTCAGCCAATCAGAGACAGGCTCTGTATATATCTGATATACTGTTGAAAGAGAGAATAACAGGGGACCACATGTACATAGTGATAACCCTAACAAGGTCAATTTATCCAATCAAAGGTCAAAAGCCATAAAAGTTGATGACGTTTTTCTCCGATGTCTCAACTTCCTGTGACATCAGAACAAAAACAATTGTTAGCGAATCGTTTAAAGACCCGTTTGCAATGTAGTATTCTATAGGGTCAAAGGTTTGCTTCTGTGAATTGAAAACATATAGCAAAAACTATTCAGACATCGTGTGGTTATTATTTTCCCCACGCACCAAACTGAAATTCTAACTGAAATTAATTGAGTATGAGTGGGGGGGGGGGGGGTCTGACCTTTGGGTTGTTGGCGTCGAACATGCCGGTGGAGAGTCCAATCAGGAGGTCCCGTTGCTGCCCGGCCCGGAGAGGAGAGACGGAGCGAGAGCGAGAGTTCAGAGACGAGGACGAGTCATCGAGGGACGACTGAGCCGAGAGGAGGGCGGTCCGACGGTGGGCCGGGGAGAGAAGCTTCAGGAAGAGGGGCTCCTCCATCACTGATAGATCAGAGAGGAGATACACAGAGTCACTACAGAAGCTTCAGAGAGGAGATACACAGAGTCACTACAGAAGCTTCAGAGAGAAGAGTCACTACAGAAGCTTCAGAGAGAAGAGTCACTACAGAAGCTTCAGAGAGAAGAGTCACTACAGAAGCTTCAGAGAGAAGAGTCACTACAGAAGCTTCAGAGAGAAGAGTCACTACAGAAGCTTCAGAGAGAAGAGTCACTACAGAAGCTTCAGAGAGAAGAGTCACTACAGAAGCTTCAGAGAGGAGAGTCACTACAGAAGCTTCAGAGAGAAGTCAAAAACGTGACCCTCGCCCAGTGCTGGAAAGTACAATTTAGAGCAGGGGTGTCAAACTCAAATACACAGTGGGCCAACATAAACAATGGGTACTAGTGGAGGGCCGGACTGGTTCAATGTTTATTGCATAACGTATTGAAATGAACTTATTGCACATATTAAACCTGGAACTAACAAAGCTTAAACTATTGCCTATAAAAACAACATGAAACATTAAATAATCAGTTGCATTAATTTCTTATGGCTCTATCTGCAGCTTCTCCAGAGTCATTTCTTATGAGTACATTTCTCCACAGGCCAACAACAGCTTCAACAAAACTATTTCCCTCAAAGAGAAAACCAAACATGTGTCATCTCTCGCAAATGATGTTAGTTTAGTGTTTTTGTGTTCGTCTAGTGATTCTCCCCTTTATTTGTGAACAGTAACCTTCCCTTTCGTTTCAGATACTCTGACCTCCCTTCCTTGTGTGTCTCCCACTCCTGTGATTGTCGACCCCGCCCCTGATTGTTTGCACCTGTTCCCCATGACCTGGTGTATTTATTATCCTCGTCTCCCTTTGTCCTGTGCCAGTTCGTTTCGTTCCTTGTGACAAACAACCAGCGTATCAATCCAGGATTACTCCCAAGCAGAGCTTTGAGCCACGTCTTATCTCAGTATTTGTGTTGTTCATGCTCCTAGTGTTTTTCCTCTTTAAGAGTGATTTTGGTTTTTGTACCACTATAGTTGAGCTTTGGTTTGAATAAAACCTTTTTTGTTAAATCCTGTGTGAGTTGTGCATTTGAGTTCATACCCGTTTAATCAGTCGTAACAACATGCCCTGTTGTCGTGAGAGACAAAGTGCAGAAGGAAACATGTGAACTCAGTGTGCTGCTCTGTGATGCTAGCTCAGATACTTGGCATCTCATCTTGGGTGCAAGGTCATAAATGTTTGGGGTCAGGCTCTGAGCTGAGGAGACCCTCAGGATGGAGTGAAGGTGTGCGTGCAATATGCCAGAGGGCCAGATCTAATAGAAATTAGAAATGATCCTGCGGGCCGAAATTAAATCCACCACGGGCCTGATTTGGCCCCCGAGCCTTGGGTTTGACACATGTGCTTTAGAGGTACTTCTACTAAAGTACCAGATCTGAGTACTCCCCTCCTCCCTCCTCCCTCCTCCCTCCTCCCTCCTCACCTGAAGGCTCTGCTGGTTTCTCCTCTCTCCTCTCAGCCTCCTTTGCAGGTCTTAGCACGCCTCCTAGTGGTCTGCAAGAGAATTACACTTTAGTTTCTCGTGCATTTACAGAATGATGTCTTAAACTAAATATTCCCCTTATTTAGTTTGACATATTGCTGGAGTGAGGAAACTATGTCAAACACAAACTATATAACGTCAGGGTTCCTGCAGCACAAGGCAAATTAAAGACCAACCTGAAACTTTGGCTTTCTGGATGTGTGTGATGCTAAGGTAGGAGGTTCAAGGGTCAAGGCTTTTATAATGAGATGTTACCAGAACAAATAAGTATTCTGTCTTAAACTGATATCACTTTTTATTATAAATTAGGGCCATCTTTATGAATAACTCATTCAGTGCCTTTTAAAACTCTCAGGGTGTTTGGACACGCTGTAAATGATGTTTCCCTATCCGTGTAGAAAACTGAAATAGAGCCGTTTTAGTGTGAGTGACGAAGTGAGCGACAAAGTGAGAGACTAAGTGAGAGACTAAGTGAGCGACTAAGTGAGCGACGAAGTGAGCGACGAAGTGAGCGACTAAGTGAGAGACTAAGTGAGCGACGAAGTGAGCGACTAAGTGAGCGACTAAGTGAGCGACTAAGTGAGCGACTAAGTGAGCGACTAAGTGAGCGACGAAGTGAGCGACTAAGTGAGAGACGAAGTGAGCGACGAAGTGAGCGACGAAGTGAGAGACTAAGTGAGCGACGAAGTGAGCGACGAAGTGAGCGACGAAGTGAGCGACGAAGTGAGCGACGAAGTGAGCGACGAAGTGAGCGACGAAGTGAGCGACGAAGTGAGAGACTAAGTGAGCGACGAAGTGAGCGACGAAGTGAGCGACGAAGTGAGCGACGAAGTGAGCGACGAAGTGAGCGACGAAGTGAGCGACGAAGTGAGCGACGAAGTGAGCGACTAAGTGAGCGACTAAGTGAGCGACGAAGTGAGCGACGAAGTGAGCGACTAAGTGAGCGACTAAGTGAGCGACGAAGTGAGCGACGAAGTGAGCGACTAAGTGAGCGACTAAGTGAGCGACGAAGTGAGCGACGAAGTGAGCGATGAAGTGAGCGATGAAGTGAGCGTTTAAATGAGACTTGGTATGAAGGCAGGAGTTGATCAAACAGAAAGGCATTCACTCTTCCTTAAACACAGATGGAGGGTTACCCTTCCTGCTGCCAGGCCTGAGGAACATCAGCCCGGGGGAGAGGGGGGGGGTTTAGGGGTCTCCTCCAACTCCATCGACTCTAGGTCTGCTGGATCTGGAACAAGTCAGAACAGATCAAATCAATCTCTATCAATGAGGAGCTGAGGTATCAGACGGTGCTCAGGTTGAGCGTTACCCTGGATCTCAGAGGGGTGAGGTGGCAGCGTCTCTCTTTCTGCTGCAGACGTTCCCTTCTGGGAGGAATCTGTGGACGCTGCACTCTGACCACCAGCAGGGGGCGCTGTCCTAACAGGGAACACTTCCTCTTTAGGCGTCCTCACCATCTCCCCTGCTCCCGACAGGTGAGGCTGATCTGAGGAGAGGAAGGCGGGGGTTCATACGCATCCCAGACAAAGTCAATAAAGATCATCTCAACAGAATGAGCTTCAAACTCTTGAAATGCAACTAAACCAGTCATTTAACGTTAAATACTAATAAGCTTTATTTGAAAGCACTTTTCTTTTCTCACACATCTGATTGTGGGGGACTTTAGGGACATTTAAAAAGCGAGCTGCGGAGAACCTCAGGACATACAACGAGAGACTCTGAGAGATATGTGGGCGGCAAACCACTAAGAGCTTTAAAAACCAGTAGAATCATTTAGAAATCAATCCTGACTGAGCCACTGCTCAACATATAGAGATATGGATGGTCTATTATAACTAGACTAACCAGGGCTGTAGGAAGTGTCCCCAAAGAGGGACATGTCCCCACAGAGCGAGGTGTCCCCCAGGGTGAGGGGCTGCAGCTCCTGGAGGACCCTCAGGACCTGGGAGTCTGGACTGGATCTCCACACCTTCCTCCCCCCGTCCTCCTGCAGCATCTGAATCACCTCCCCCACCGTGTGCTCTGAGGACAGACAGGGGGACAAGGAGACATCAGAGAGAGACAAGGAGACATCAGAAAGAGACAAGGAGACATCAGAGAGAGAGACAAGGAGAGAGACAAGGAGACATCAGAGAGAGAGACAAGGAGAGAGACAAGGAGACATCAGAGAGAGAGACAAGGAGAGAGACAAGGAGACATCAGAGAGAGAGACAAGGAGACATCAGAGAGAGAGACAAGGAGACATCAGAGAGAGAGACAAGGAGACGTGGTTCAGGTGCAGACGAGACGTGGTTCAGGTGCAGACGAGACGCGTCTCAAGTGCAGACGAGACGCATCTCAGGTGCAGACGAGACGCGTCTCAGGTGCAGACGAGACGCGTCTCAGGTGCAGACGAGACGCGTCTCAGGTGCAGACGAGACGCGTCTCAGGTGCAGACGAGACGCGTCTCAGGTGCAGACGAGACGCGTCTCAGGTGCAGACGAGACGCGTCTCAGGTGCAGATGTTCTGGTGTGTTCTGGGGGACGGGGGACTCACCGATTGTTCTGATGCTGGTCTCCTCCAGGGTGTTCTGGGCCTCAGACAGAACCAGAGGGACTCCAGCCTCCCACTTCCTCCTGTCGGCACCAGAGGACGGTCTCTCTGCAGGGGACACTGACGAGGCTGCAGAGAGAGACATGCAGTATTAACATGAACCTGTGTTAGAGACTGTATATCTGAATGAAGCTCCAGAGGTGTCTCCACTCACTGGCACAGGGACTGGCTGTGGAGCAGGTTTCCCCAAAGGTCAGCCGAGACACAGGAAGTTCAGGAAGTTCTGCAGCGTCCCACTTCCTGCGCTCTCCATTAGCAGCACCGGGACCTGGTTCTGAAGGAGGACCTGGTGCTGAAGGAGGACCTGGTGCTGAAGGAGGACCTGGTTCTGCAGGAGGACCTGGTTCTGAAGGAGGACCTGGTTCTGAAGGAGGACCTGGTGCTGAAGGAGGACCTGGTTCTGAAGGAGGACCTGGTTCCAAAGATCGCAGAAGTACACACATCCTTTACTCAAGTAGAAGTACACACATCCTTTACTCAAGTAGAAGTACACACATCCTTTACTCAAGTAGAAGTACAGATACTCGTGTTTAAAAATACTCTGGTGAAAGTAGAAGTACTGACTAAACTTCTTTACTCAAGTCAAAGTAAAGAGGCTTTGAAATGTACTTCAGTAAAAAGTACCCATAACTAGCAGCTGTTTTAAAGAGTACCTGACCTCCCTTTATATTAATAGAACAATAATGTCATTGTTAGCTAATGAATGTTTCCATGCTGAACAACGGCAACATGACAACGTTTTCATTGGTCCCTCTTCTTTAGAGAAGACCAGGAAATGATGGATACACGGATCGTGTTCAAATCAATAGGCACGCAATGACTCTAAAGAATAATGATCACGCCACCAAACACACATTCAAACTAAAGGAACCAGCCTGTTTGGGAAATGTGAGAAGTAGAAAGTACAGGTATTTGTGTTCAACATGTAAGAAGTAGAAAGTACAGGTATTTGGGTTCAACATGTAAGAAAGTCAAAGTAAGTACTCCACTACTTCCTACCTCTGCCTGGTTCTGCAGGAGGACCTGGTTCTGAAGGGGGGGGAACAGACTCCTCTTCCACTGGACTCTGGGCCTTCAGGTTCTGGTTCAGTCGGCGCAGGATCTGCTTCTTCTCACTCTGGACCATGGAAAGCGATTTATAATATTAGGTTTAGATATTTAACCAAGTCATTCAGCTGTTTTAGCTCAACCTGACCGCAAGCAACCCGACCGCAAGCAACCCGACCACCGACCCGACCACAAGCAACCCGACCACAAGCAACCCGACCACCGACCACAACCAACCCGACCACCGACCACAACCAACCCGACCACAAGCAACCTGACCACCGACCACAACCCACAAGCAACCCGACCACCAGCAACCGGACCACCGACCACAAGCAACCCGACCACCGACCACAAGCAACCCGACCACCGACCACAAGCAACCTGACCACCGACCACAACCCACAACCAACCGGACCACAAGCAACCGGACCACCGACCACAAGCAACCCGACCACCGACCACAACCAACCCGACCACAAGCAACCCGACCACCGACCACAAGCAACCCGACCACAACCAACCCAACCACAAGCAACCCGACCACCGACCACAACCAACCCGACCACCGACCACAAGCAACCCAACCCCACAAGCAACCCGACCACCGACCACAAGCAACCCGACCACAAGCAACCCAACCCCACAAGCAACCCGACCACAAGCAACCCGACCACCGACCACAAGCAACCCGACCACAACCAACCCAACCCCACAAGCAACCCGACCACAAGCAACCCGACCACCGACCGCAAGCAACCCGACCACCGACCGCAAGCAACCCGACCACCGACCGCAAGCAACCCGACCACCGACCGCAAGCAACCCGACCACCGACCACAAGCAACCTGACCACCGACCACAAGCAACCCGACCACAACCAACCCAACCCCACAAGCAACCCGACCACAAGCAACCCGACCACCGACCGCAAGCAACCCGACCACCGACCGCAAGCAACCCGACCACCGACCGCAAGCAACCCGACCACCGACCGCAAGCAACCCGACCCCACAAGCAACCCGACCACAACCAACCCGACCACCGACCACAAGCAACCCGACCACAACCAACCCGACCACCGACCACAAGCAACCCGACCACAACCAACACGACCACCGACCACAACCAACCCGACCACAACCAACCCGACCACAAGCAACCCGACCACCGACCACAAGCAACCCGACCACCGACCACAAGCAACCCGACCACCGACCACAACCAACCCGACCGCAAGCAACTATACCGCAAGCAACCCGACCACAAGCAACCCGACCCCACAAGCAACCCGACCCCACAAGCAACCCGACCACAAGCAACCCGACCACAAGCAACCCGACCACAAGCAACCCGACCACAACCAACCCGACCACAACCAACCCGACCACAAGCAACCCGACCACAAGCAACCCGACCACAAGCAACCCGACCAAACTCATAATCTTGGGATGCAATTGTTACTTTGGGAAATTAGTCAAGTTGAAATAGAAGCGAAGAGAACAAAAAAGTGTGTTATTTTATATTTATTAAACATGTTTTAAACCACAACAGGTTAAGGTTCTATTTTTGAACATAGAGTGCACGCCCTCACTAGCAACCCCAAATAAAATGGAAGCTCAGGAAGTTTGTAGTTCCTCCTCGCCTCCAACCACGTCGCTTTCATGTTGAATGATGCAGCTGGAAGCAGGAGGAACACATTTTGGAGGAGGTCAAACTTCCTGAAGCATTCTCTGTCACTCTGTAACTTCATATGCCATGACCACTGAGTGGACTTCCACATCAAGGAGGTGATGTCCCGTTCATAGATCATTGATATCGTGCTCTCACCTGGAGGACGGCAGCAGTCTCCGGCTGAGCGGACTTCTCTTTCAGCGGAGTCACCTGCCAGAAACAACACTTCCATTAGGACAACATCGTGACACATGGCAGAGTGATGGAGTTTGTGAACTGACCGCTCCAACGTTCTTCAGGGCGGCCGTCATGGAGATGGCTTCAGCTTCAGCAGCGTCTGGCTGAGAGGTCTGAGGAGGATCTGATGAAGACGACGATGATGATGATGCTACGTGTCCTGCTGCAGCGACGCCAGGCTTCACCCCCCGAGCTGCGAGCTGCACCAACACAAAGGACCCAGGGTTAGACGTGAAGTGAAGCACGGGCGAGGTGACGGACGCCTCTTTGCACTCGCTTTTAATGCTAGCTGAACCTGACATTTCTATATGTTACTAGTTATTGTGCTTGATGCTTCAGGCTGACTGGAGCACAGAGGATGCTTCAGGCTGACTGGAGCACAGAGGATGCTTCAGGCTGACTGGAGCACAGAGGATGCTTCAGGCTGACTGGAGCACAGAGGATGCTTCAGGCTGACTGGAGCACAGAGGATGCTTCAGGCTGACTGGAGCTCAGAGGATGCTTTAGACAGACCTTAGTGATCTCCATCAGATGGTAGCAGTTCAGATTCTCTGTCAGAGCATGCTTTGGGTCCAGAGGATGCTGCTGGAGCCTCTCAGGTTATTATGGTCTGTGAGTCAGGAAGTCTCTGACAGGGTGACCTACAGTCTGTGAGCAGATTTCTAACAGGTGGAGCAGATTTGATTTTAAAGCCGTTGTCAGACACTTGTACCAGGTAGAGTTGCTGTACTGCAGAACAGACTAAATCACAGATGTAAAGAGCAGAAGAGTTTCTCTGCTCGCTCCAAAAGACCTCAGGCGGCAGAAAAGTCAGATTTCTGAGAAAAATACCAACAAATGATCTTTTTTAGTTTTGACTACTTCCATTCTTTAGAGGATAATAAATACATGGATCCTGATCTTGAAGCTCAAGCCGGAGAGTTCTCTAACAGAAATAAAATAGCATTAAAAATATGTTTCTAGTTATTGTGCTATATATTCAATTTGGTCTTTCCATGACAGCAGATGGTCAATCTATAAATCTATATATCTATATATTGTATTTGTTCCCTGTACAGCACTCTGGTCAACGTGGGTTGTTTTTAAATGTGCTGTATAAATAAATGTGATTGATTGATAGATAGAGATGGAGATGGATCTTACGTGCTCCTCCCAGGCTCTCTTCTCCCTCTCCAGCGCCTCCACCCTCTTCTTCTCCAGCTGCTCTCTCAGCACAGCAGCTCGAGTGTTAGCTTGAGCCTGACGGGAGGAGAAGCACAAGCAAAACATCGTTTAAAAAGTAATAGCTTCATCCATTAAGCACGGTGATTTCATTAGCTTACGTTATAGGAAAGAGCGCCGGTCAAAAAGCTTTATTCCTATAAGTCCGAGACGATAGCGAGATTAAAACTTCACCAACATGTATTTGTATCACCTTCTCTCAATCCCTCAAACACACAGGCATGCAGGGTTTCACTCAAATACCTAAATGATTGGTTTTGGCAGAAATCAATTAAAAGGAAATATTCAATTTGATCTGACGACTGAAAAGTCTGAAGGTTTTAATTGACTTTAACGAGAATAAAATGCTTAGAAAAATACTTTTAAATGGATAAAAACAATGAATGATGTATAAGATCAATATATAACTTGAATGCAGGATAAAGACAAGCACAAGATACTTTTTTAAATAATAGCTCCATCCATGACTTAAAGGTGGGGTAGGTCATTCCCTTCAGAAACACTTGTTATATTCCATGGAATGCTCTTAACATCCCGATAGCAATGAATATCTGAAGTGCTTTGACAAAAAATCCATAAATAAATATCATCAGTGGAAGCTGTAGTACTGTAAAAAGCACGACCAATCATCTGAGCCGGCCCGGCTAAAATAACTGGATGGCCTACCTGCCTGTCAGCCTTCCATCTGTGCACAAACTTATCTCGTGCCCTCATTGGTCATGTGCACGTTCGTGTGTGTTGGAGGAGGGGCTCTGTAAGGAAGTGGCAGATTTTCTCCGGTTGTGTATTTTCAAATTCTAGCGCACTCGAGCTGGTTTCTCAAACTTACCTACCCCAGCTTTAAGCAGGGTTATTTCATTAGCTTAAGTTATGGCAAAGAACGGCAGTCAAAAAGCTTTATTCCTATAAGTCTTCCAATGTGACATATTAATGTAATCCTCACTTTTAGCGCCTCGATCTTCTTCCTCTTGAGCTCGGCCTCCTCGCTGGACTCCTGGCTGTCTGACCCGTCGCTGTCGTACTGAAACACAACAACAACAGCACAGGAGAGGAAACGTCAGAAAACTCCCATTGCACCGTATCACTGCACTGGTTACCGGCGTCCTTCAGAATTCATTTTAAAGTGCTTTTAATGACTTACAAGGCTTTACTTAACCTCGCCCTTAACATATGTAAGTGACTGACTTTCTCGTCATCAACCTGCAAGGATTTTTGAGATTTTTGAGAAAAAGTCCGAATTGTTTGAGAAAGTCAGAATTTTTTGATTTGAGAAAAAGCCAGAATTTTTGGAGAAAAAGTCAGAATTTTTAGAGAAAAAGACCGAATTTTTGAGAAAAAGTCCGAATTTTTGAGAAAAAGTCTGACATTTTTAGATTTTTTGAAAAACACCAACAAATTCTCTTTTTTTTTTGACTACTACTATTCTTGAGAGGATAATAAATACATGGATCCTGAGATTGAAGCTCAAGTCGGAGGCCAGTGAGATTTTTCACAGAAATAAAAATTGTTAAATGTGGAAATACAAATTTACAGTAACAAAATATAAAGCAGATGTTCACCTTCTCTCCTCTGAGCCGGGCTTTGATCTGCTGACGCTCGTTGAAGTTCTGCAGGCGGATCTGCCTCAGTCTGGACAGATACTCCTGAGGACAAACAGAGAGTCTCAGTCTGGAGAGATACTCCTGAGGACAAACAGAGAGTCTCAGTCTGGAGAGATACTCCTGAGGACAAACAGAGAGTCTCAGTCTGGAGAGATACTCCTGAGGACAAACAGAGAGTCTCTGTCTGGAGAGATACTCCTGAGGACAAACAGAGAGTCTCAGTCTGGAGAGATACTCCTGAGGACAAACAGAGAGTCTCAGTCTGGAGAGATACTCCTGAGGACAAACAGAGAGTCTCAGTCTGGAGAGATACTCCTGAGGACAAACAGAGAGTCTCAGTCTGGAGAGATACTCCTGAGGACAAACAGAGAGTCTCAGTCTGGAGAGATACTCCTGAGGACAAACAGAGAGTCTCAGTCTGGAGATACTCCTGAGGACAAACAGAGAGTCTCAGTCTAACAGGTGCAGCAGCATGGATGTAAAATGTGAGAAAGCTTCTTAATAAACTAAAGGCTTTTTGAAGATCTAACGGTTCCAGTTGGACTAATGCTTCCAAGTCTTCAACAACGTTAGGGAACAAATACAGAAATATAAAAGTTGCACCAAAAATAAGTTCAAAAGATTGTGATTTTTCGTGGCTTTTTTCAATTCTAACGGTTCCAGTTGGACTTCAGTCAATTCTGTCTGAAGTTGTTTTTAAATGTTGTATTTGCTCTAGCTTTCCCACACATGATTATAGAAAGGGTTGAAAATGATGTAAAATCTTAGATTTCCAATTGAAAAATGTGAAATGTTCTTGTAGGAAGAACCCCCCTAATCCTCGAGTCAATGCTTCTTAGTCTCCAGCGTTAGGGAACACACTGGTGGGCGAAACACTACGGAAATATAAAGGTTGCACCTAAAATACCATATTTATGATGTGGTCTTATTTACTTGGGTTTTCCTCGTTGTGTTACCCGTGTGTGTTTTGGTACTTCTTGAACCAGCTGATAAATCCCTGAGTTTCTCCTGAGATAATTACACTCCTTAAACGGTATTATATCAACATCTGCACATCATCACATCAACACATCAGCCAGAATAAAATATAACTCCTGCAGTAAACAAGATGAACATCCAATCCACAGCGAACACACAAACAATAACAATGGGTTCACAGCTGTGATCAATAACAGCCCAAATAATAACCAACATGTCACAGCGCTCGGTGTGCAGGGAGGGGTCATGAGGGCGAGATGCAGGGGTGCATTATGGGAGTTTAGTTCAGACGGATGAAGGATCATCATTTCACTTAATTTAAAAATAATTATAGTTTTATCTTCACGTTTCTGCATTCAAGTTATAAATGATTGTTATTGATCATTAATTGTAGTGGTTGCTTTTCTCTATGACGTTTCCTCGTCAGCTGGATTTCTCTCGTTGCGTTTCCCATGTGTGATTTGGTGCTTCTTGAAAACCTTGTCCTGAGATAATTACGAGGCAACACTTCACCCAGAGCACGGTATGATGTTAGCATCAACACTTCACCCAGAGCACGGTATGATGTTAGCATCAACACTTCACCCAGAGCACGGTATGATGTTAGCATCAACACTTCACCCAGAGCACGGTATGATGTTAGCATCAACACTTCACCCAGAGCACGGTATGATGTTAGCATCAACACTTCAGCCAGAGCACGGTATGATGTTAGCATCAACACATCACCCAGAGCACGGTACGATGTTAGCATCAACACATCAGCCAGAGCACGATGTTAGCATTAACACATCACCCAAAGCACGGTACGATGTTAGCATTAACACTTCACCCAGAGCACGGTACGATGTTAGCATTAACACATCAGCCAGAACACGGTATGATGTTAGCATCAACACATCAGCCAGAGCACGGTATGATGTTAGCATCAACACATCACCCAGAGCATAGTATGATGTTAGCATCAACACATCACCCAGAGCACGGTACAATGTTAGCATCAACACTTCACCCAGAGCACGGTACGATGTTAGCATCAACACTTCACCCAGAGCACGGTACGATGTTAGCATCAACACATCAGCCAGAGCACGGTACGATGTTAGCATTAACACATCAGCCAGAGCACGGTATGATGTTAGCATTAACACATCAGCCAGAGCACGGTATGATGTTAGCATCAACACTTCACCCAGAGCACCGTATGATGTTAGCATTAACACATCAGCCAGAGCACCGTATGATGTTAGCATCAACACTTCACCCAGAGCACGGTACGATGTTAGCATCAACACATCAGCCAGAGCACGGTACGATGTTAGCATTAACACATCAGCCAGAGCACGGTATGATGTTAGCATCAACACTTCACCCAGAGCACGGTACGATGTTAGCATTAACACATCAGCCAGAGCACGGTACGATGTTAGCATCAACACATCAGCCAGAGCACGATGTTAGCATTAACACATCACCCAAAGCACGGTACGATGTTAGCATTAACACTTCACCCAGAGCACGGTACGATGTTAGCATCAACACATCAGCCAGAACACGGTATGATGTTAGCATCAACACATCAGCCAGAACACGGTATGATGTTAGCATCAACACATCAGCCAGAGCACGGTATGATGTTAGCATCAACACATCAGCCAGAGCACGGTATGATGTTAGCATCAACACTTCACCCAGAGCACGGTATGATGTTAGCATTAACACATCAGCCAGAATAAAATATAAATCCTGCAGTAAACAAGATGAACATCCAATCCACAGCGAACACAAAGGAGGAGCAGTGGTTATTAAAAATGTGACAAACAAACAATAACAATGGGTTCACAGCTGTGATCAATAACAGCCAAAATAATAAACATCATGTCACAGCGCTCGGTGTGCAGGGAGGGGTCATGAGTTGAGATGCAGGGGTGCATTATGGGAGTTTTGTCGACTCCTACCTCCTCCTCCCGGTTGGCTCTGGGCCTCCTGAAGCGGATCGAGCCCCCCCGACTCCCGTACGTCGCTGCCAGGTTCTGCCGCGTTCCCTGTTCACGTTTCATTTCATTTAACCACATTTAAAACATCTTGCCAAAACCTACTTTGGAGGAGTGGATTGACATCGGTTATGATATGTTTAAGATGGAAAGGATAACCCTCGCTCTGAGACTGCAGCCGGGAAGGTTTTTGTGGAGATGGGAAAAATGGATAATACATTTTACACCAATATGACCATCATTCGTCTAGAAGGGATGTGGATGTCTTTTGTTCTATGCCCCCCCTGTTTGAATAGGTTGCAGGTACACCCCCATAGCCCTGCTGGTGTTAATGTTCAAATTGTATGTTGGAGTATGTTTGAAGGTATTATCCACTAATATGTATGTTTGATTTGTGATCACTGTTAACTACAGAAGGCTTACAGAGAAGATTGTATACATGTGAAAAGCTGAATAAAAGAACATCGTGCCGTCACAGTAAGGGGTCAGGAGCTAATGTCCATCCATTATCACAGCATGTACATTCAATATAGTGATGTTTAAACCCACATCTCTTCCCTGGCTGCCTGTAAACACATGTAACGTCTTATTACTCGTGAATCACCCCGTGGAGTTGGACCTGAATCACAGACATGCTGGAGCTTTATATAAAAACATCAGAACCGGTCTGATCCGGCTCGAGCTGCAAAATCTCAACAAGTCAAAGGTCTTTTTAAACTCAACCCATAACAACCCAGACCTTCTACTTTATGAAAGGATGGGGCTCCTAGGACATCTTGGACATGTAATTATGGGAACACAAAGTCACATGACCTGGCCTATGACCGACTGTTCAGTGTGAGTCACTTAGGGTCTCATGGGTTAAATGTGACGGGTTTCTCTCAGCATGTGTCCCTTAACATCTCTTCAGAAGTGTCTGTACGTACCAGCTGTCCCTCGGCTCGCACCTTGTTGAGCATGGCTTCTCTCTTCCTCTGCAGAAACTCTTCCACCTGATAGGCCCGTCCTGCAGCCATGTGACCCCGGGACCTGAACATACAACAAGGGTATCAGTACTGTCAACACTATGGAATCAAGGGCAACTAAATGCATTAAAATACCTTAAGTTTCCCTCAAGTATTACACTTAATGTACTGCAACAGCTTAACAGCACTGCAGCTGATTCAAAGCTATTAAAGGGTACAGTTCATACGGGACATGTGCTTGATGTAGTCACACGAGTGATGTATTCACAAAGCTGGCCTTTAGAGAGTGGACATTTGCAGATGAAAATAAAACAATTAACCAAATAACTCGGGGGAGGAAAGGGATATACTTCAGCAGGAATACAATAAAAGAAAGCACTAAAAAAGTAGATTTGATCTGCAAAAAAACAGCCAATAGAAATCAGACAGACGCAATGATTGTTGATTGGAAGTCTGTAGGTAGAAAAGACTTTGGTTGGTGTGGAATTTTATTGGATTTCCTCAAGTAAAAGATAAGGATGAAACAAACTGGAAATACTTAAGTGAAGGTTTTTATGGAAAAAGACTTAAAGAAAGACTTCTTTAGAGAAACCCGTTTTCTTCTAATGAAGCCTCAACATGTGTTTTGTTTGGATCAGGGTGCTGTCACTGACCGGCTGATGTGAGCAGCTTTAGAGCCGTGCTGCAGACGCTGCAGTTCCCTCTTGATGGCGTCCGGGTTCAGGACCCGGGCCGGGCTGCTGGGCAGAACCGGGCCTGCAGCCGCCGGGACCCTGCAGGGGACCAGAAGACACACTGAAATCTCCTTAAATACAGGGAAGGGGCTGTACAGGATATCAGCTTTTATATTCAAAGGTCCTACTGATGAAGACTTTTTGTTATGGTTATTTCATTTCACAACCAGTATAATATATATATATATATATAAGTGTGCATGTTTTGTTTTAAAATAACTGCCATGTGTGGAATAAACAAATAAATAACAGTGAACTCTGAGTCCCTGAACGCACCGTGCCGGGCTGCCTGGTGCCGGAGACGCGCCTCTCATCTGGTCCAGCGCAGCGTGGTAGTGTTCGTACGGGGTTTTACTGGGAAGGTAACCCGGACCCTGAACTGAGCACGGGGCGGCCCTCTGCCCCCCCCCTGCAAAACACTGAGGAGGAGCACAGGAGGAGGTGAGCACAAATACTGAGGAGGAGCACAGGGGGAGGTGAGCACAACACTGAGGAGGAGCACAGGAGGAGGTGAGCACAACACTGAGGAGGAGCACAGTATACAGAACTTTGAAATTCTGAAATGTTTCAAAATTCGGAATTTTCTGAAAATCTCCAATTCTGACTTCCTTCTTAAAATTCTTGCTTTTATAAAAATCCCGTAATTCTGACTTTTTTCATAAAATTTCACAATTCATAAAATCTTGAAATTCAGATTTTTTTCAGAAAATCTCTAAAATGTTGACTTTTCTTTTAAATCTGAAAATTCTTAAAATCTTGACTTTTTTCATAAAATCCTTATTAAAAAAAATGTGAAAAAAGTGAAAATTCTGATTTTTTTTTTTTAAATCTCAAAATTATGACTTTTTTCCTTAAAATCAAAAAAAAAAAATCTGACTTTTCTTAAAATAAAAAAAATTATGACTTTTTTGACGTGGCAAATGGAGCTGCTGTGATGTAAGCAACATTATAGCCAGGGGTGCACATAACTGGTACGCAGGTACGCATGCGCGGCAACAATCTGAAATGCGTAACGTCACTTGTGTCACAACGCGCCTTTGCGTACCTGATAGGTCATCAAAACAAAAACACATATTTTGTCTATACGTGTTTCTTGTCAACACTCAGTGGAGTAAATTATTAGACATGTCCAAAAAAAACAAAGACATTAAGCAGCCACTTTGCCGTTTCGCTCCCTGCAAAAATCTTCGGACTTTCTATGACTGATTGAACTGGGTGCTGGCTGTGCCGCGCAGGACATAACCGACGGACCTGTGAAGCTTCACAGGAGAAAGAGGCTTAGATCACTGGACGACAGAGTTGGTCGCCATGTGCACAGACGGGGCTGCTGTTAACGTCGGTGTGTACAACAGAATTGTACCAAAACTACATCAACTGGCTGCAGTGGGAGACTCCCCTGTGCACATTCTGTGCCCCGCGCACACACTGGAGAACTGCGCAAAATCAGCTGATCACAACGTTCACGCTCTGTGGTCAAGCTGCTGCAGTTTTATTTACAACAAAGTGGAGTAAAACACACAGCTGCAAACTTACTCAGGCTGTTAATGGAAGAGTTTGAAATCAGACAGGGTTAGGTGGATGAAGTGTTACTCAAGTAAAATTAGAAAAGTATTATCATCAACACCTAGTTAAAGTAGCGACAGTAAAAGTAGTCATTTTGCAGATTGGTCCATTTCATAATAATGTATATGATATGTTTTATAATTATTGATCATTAAAGTGTTTAAAAATGAGTTTGAATGACTTTGTATACTGCAGGGTAGCTTGTGGATTTACTCCAGGTGGAACTAAAGTCTGATTTAACACTTGATTATATTTCACATCATTCATCCACATCTGTGAAGTAACTAAAGGTATTAAATACATGTAGTGGAGGAAAAGTACATGATTTACCTCTGAACTGTAGTGGAGTAGAAGTACAAAGTAGCATAAATTGTACCTAAGTACAGTACTTGAATAAATGTACTTTGTTACTTCCCACCTCTGAAATCAGATATGACTTCAAGTCATGTGATAATTTCTTAGTATTTGATCCTTCAACTTGGCCTCAGGAAATGCAAGGACTTCACAGTTTTGGCAACAAGTTTTGGAGAAAGCAAATCGGAGGCTTAAAAAGAGACAGGGAGGTGCATCTTCATCATCTTCATCATCTAGCATGCAAGAAGTGTAAATAGAGGACAGTGAAGGAGACACTGAGGAGGACAGTGAGGAAGACTGCACTTATTAAAACCACGCTTCATGTGGGGTGAGTACCAAACACTGTCTCCTGGTACTCATCTGAGTAACTCACTAAAAAAGTTATGTGCACCCCTGATTATAGCCTTGATCTGAGACTGAGGTATTATTATGGTCTCGTCTCGTAGGTCGAGTTCAGGTGAAGGTGACACCTGGAGGTACTTGTAAGTAAAAGGTGGGATAATGATCAGGTGCTCCAGTACCTTCCTCTCGGGGCTGCTGCCTCCACTGGAGCTCAGCACGTGTCTCCAGCCCTGCTCTCTGGCCTGGTTTATCCGGTTGATCTGTTAGAAGATCACAGGTTCATCATTACTTCACTTTAAGTTAGAGACACAGAGGACATTTATCCTTACCACCTGTTTTTGACAAAGAGAAATAACCAAGAAACCACTTGTAAAAAGTTCAGGACAGAATATTTTTTAATACAAAAGCTGTTTCAATCATTAGCTTGTAGTATTTAGTTTACCTAATTTGTGAACATTTTAAAAAAGATTCTGAAACTCAATTAGGTAAAGTATTGAATCACCCACCTTTTCCTTTTCATATCTCTTCATCTGCTCCGCTTTAAACAGGACCATCTGAGAGGGAGCAATGACACGCATCAGTGAGAGCTGAACACGTTCATATTTCAAAGCAAAACTAGTAAATGCATTTGAATATTCTCTGATCCCAGCCTCTCCTATAGGGCTGGGCAAAATATCTATATCTATATTGTGATAAAAGACCACAGAGAAACTCCCTCTGGAGGGAACACAGGGATTTTAGCATTTAGAGACCATTTACATGCACTAAAGCCAATAGAACCCACTGCAGGAGAGGGAGCAACCACCGGAAGCACAACAGGGCCTCTTTGAAGATTTAATAGACACACATTTAGTCAGATTACTCGCTAATAAAATCCCCTTTTCTTTTAAAAACCTCACCCAGGTAAACCCACCTGCTCTCTCCGTTTCCTCTCCTTCTCGATCAGCTCCATCCTCTTCTTCCTCATGCCGTCCTGCAGCAGGAGGGGAAACGTTAAAGAAACTGTGTAGTGAGGAGGTTACACATCAGGCAGAACATGGAGAACATGGAGAACAGGGAGAACAGGGAGAACAGGGAGAACAGGGAGAACAGGGAGAACAGGGAGAAGACAGAGAACGATGGGTTACGTATTGTAAGCCTAGTTCTATAAGCACAGGCTCCGCCCTCTACTGGACTCTATGGGTACTACTCTCATCAATGATATGCAAGCGTTCACACACTGAATTTGTATAAACGTAGCCGGCCAATCAGGGCGAGCCTACCTGAATGCGCGCGCAGGCTCACAGTATATAAGGCGGCTCCTGACTGTCATCCTACACCCTCTTCAGCGAGCGGCATAGGGAAGACAGGGCCCCTAGGTAGAGGGTACTGGACTCTATGGGTGCAGTGGGTGGAGCCCCGATGGATAAACGCAGTGTTTCCCATACATTTTTTTTATTATTAATATTAATTATTATTATTATTATTATTATTATTATTATTATTATTATTATTATTATTATTATTATTATTATTATTATTATTATTATTATTATTATTATTTGTTGTGGTCTAATGGATAGTGAGGTGGGCTGATGATCGGAAGGTTGCGAGTTCAAATCCTGCCTGGAACACCACTACTAGTGTGCCCTTGAGTAAGGCACTTAGCCCTCAGTCACTCCAGGGAGGATGTCCCTGTAATGGGTAAGTCGCTTTGGAAGAAGGCGTCTGCTAAATGCCTAAATTGTAAATGATATTGTTGGGAGAATAAACCCCACAGATCCTCCACTCCGGTGTGTCTCACTCATTAACAACACAGAGCAACAAGAACGTTGTCTACAGTAGCCATGAACTCACATGTATTATCTTATTTGAGGGGGGGGGTGCGGTGCGGTGCCCCCACAAATAGAATCAAATTCTGTGGGAAACACTGATAAACGCCCTGTCGTCCTACAACATCGACCCACCACACTGCCCCTGACCGGCCTGTGGTTAATAGCCACCGCACCTCAACTTCCTATCACCCGGTTGTGACCGTGGAGAAGTCGGGGCCGCAGCTCACTTGGCTGGGTAGAGCCTAATTGGTCTGAATAAGCCCATAGCTCCACCCTGCAGGTGCCAGCGCAAGTGACTACACACTGCGCACTACGTTCCCCAGGTCCCTAAGGAGCATGGGAAGAACGTAAGTGTACGATGTCCCCCACACTCACATGCTTAACTCCAGTGTGCATGGACCTTAGTGGGGAGAGTCTTCCGGCCCTGTATGGGGCTTAATGCGCACCACGTTTCCCGGGTCCCTAAGGAGCATGGGAAAACATAAGTGCATTATGTCCAAGGGGGTCAGATACAGCTTACTGACTCACAGCCCCCCTCCTCTCACCAGTCCTGTGTTGGGGAGGAGCCAGACATGTCCAAGAGATAAAACCTTATGAAGGGGCCTGGCGTAGACCAAGACGCCGCCGTGCATATGTCCTCCACACTCACGCTGTTGAACAAGGCTGTCGACACAGCCATACCACGTGTAGAGTGTGCACGGACCCCCGTGGGGAAGGCTCTCCCCGCCTGCCCATAGGCATGTGCAATGCACTCGCAGAGCCACCCTGTCAGGCGTTTCTTGGATAGAGCTTTACCGGCCACACCATCCCCAAAGCACACAAACAGCTGTTCAGTGCGCCTAATGGAAGCCGTGCGCCCTACATAACATGCCAGCGCACGCACCGGGCAGAGGAGGTGCAATTTAGCCTCCCTGTCCCCAGTATGGGGTGAAAGACTAAAGCCGTCTAACTGTATAGCTCTCGACCTGAACGAACTCCTTAGGTTCTTGGGAACAAAGGGGTTCGGTCTGAGTGTCGCCCCGCTACGGTCACCCCAAATCAAAAGGCAACTCGGGTGCACCGACAGAGCGGTCAGAGGCTTTTTACCCTCCGCCCATCCTGCTGCCTGTGGGAGCAGATGGGCTGCCAGGCTCTCATCAAGGGGGGGGCACGCAGGGACACGCTGTGTCCGTGCAGCCCTGCACCCTGAGGATACCCACCATACCAGCCACCGGAGCCTTCGTCCACAGTGGCTGCCGCCACGACGCCTCAACGCCTCCACACACTGCCAGATATCTGGCAACGGGGGCGACACGAAGGCTGGCTGCGCCGGGCGGACCGGGCCGTAGAACCCCTGGTGGAGGCGGCTCACCGGCTTCAGCGGCAGTGGTGGTGGGGGGAGCGGTAGCCCTATACGCTCCGCTGCCATGGTCATCACCAGGGGGAAATCCTGGCGGACAGACCTGGGCCCCGGACCCGGAAGTGCCCGACAACGAGAAGTCCTCGCCATCTTCCTCCCCGGCAAACGGAGCCCATCGCACCGCAGGAATGGCGAACATAAAAGGCGTCGCCTCGACACCCTGGTCCCCATCTCCACCACCTCGAGCTCAGCCTCGGTGTCATCGCCACGCGGTGAGGCGTAGTGGCTCCTGAAATAGTCCCACCGGTGCGTGTCAGGCCCCAGACACTGGAAGCAGAGACGATGGGGATCGGCGCCCCTCTATTAAGCCAGGGCACGAAGGACCCGGGTCTCCTGAAGAGGCGACTCCATGGAGGAGAGATGCTTCTTCTTTAGCTTTTTTCTAAAATGTTCCTCTGTCAGGTGTTCTCTCGCTCGCTGAAGAGAAAAGGATGACCGGAGGCGGAGCCGCCTTATATACTGTGAGCCTGCGCGCGCATTCAGGTAGGCTCGCCCTGATTGGCCGGCTACGTTTATACAACTTCAGTGTGTGAACGCTCGCGTATCATTGATGAGAGTAGCACCCATAGAGTCCAGTAGAGGGCGGAGCCTGTGTGAGATAGAACATGGAGCACATAGGGAACACGGAGAACATGGAGAACACGGAGAACGTGTAAAACAGGGAGAACATGGAGGTAGAGATCAGGCGTCAGAAAATACTTTTTTGATTTCTATAGCGCTTTTCGCTCAAAGACGCTTTACATAAAATGATGAGGGTCTCAGCTGTACCTCATGTTTCTTCCTCTCTTCCTCCACATGACTCACTCTCCTGGGGGGGGCTGCAGGGGGAGGGGCCTAAGCAACACATAACGGGGGGGATCAGAGTCCACACACACACACGGCCTCCTCTGACGTATGAGCTCAATATCGAACAGTTTTTCCAGAGAGAACCAGAAAGACAGTGAACTCACAGGTCTTTGTCTCACGGCAGGCTTCCTGTCTGCAGGTCTCTTGGCGGCGTCCTTCCTCACGGTTAAAGGCACTCCGTATTTACAGGCTGGTTTCGTGATCCTCTGAGCGGGGGGGATGGAGCCGGGGGTCGGACGCTTGGCTGGAAACACAAGGAACATATTTCAAGTCAAATCAAAGTCAACTTTATTGTCAATCTTTCAGTTTGTGTGTACAGACAGAGAGATCCAAATACCAGTTCCCACAATCCAGAACACAAACATATGTATATCCTATATGCACGCAACTGACTGAAGCTGTTTATCAAGCTCCTATTCAGTATTAAAGCTCACCTGTTATGCAAAATGTGTCCTCTGTGTAAAGAGACTCTGAAACAGGAACAAAGAACTCTCTCTTTGTCCTGATCCATCTTTATAAAAACCTGCGTGTTTGTTTACATAAGGATGTGACCAGCATTTGAGCCAGGCGCGCTGTGAGGGGGGGGGCTCACACACTGCCAGGCGCGCTGTGAGGGGGGGGGCTCACACACAGCCAGGCGCGCTGTGAGGGGGGGGGCTCACACACAGCCAGGCGCGCTGTGAGGGGGGGGGGCTCACACACAGCCAGGCACGCTGTGAGGGGCGGGGCTCACACACTGCCAGGCGCGCTGTGAGGGGGGGGGCTCACACACAGCCAGGCGCGCTGTGAGGGGGGGGGGCTCGCACACAGCCAGGCGCGCTGTGAGGGGGGGGGCTCGCACACAGCCAGGCGCGCTGTGAGGGGGGGGGGCTCACACACAGCCAGGCGTGCTGTGAGGGGGGGGGGGCTCACACACAGCCAGGCGCGCTGTGAGGGGGGGGCTCACACACAGCCAGGCGCGCTGTGAGGGGGGGCTCACACACTGCCAGGCACGCTGTGAGGGGCGGGGCTCACACACTGCCAGGCACGCTGTGAGGGGCGGGGCTCACACACAGCCAGGCGCGCTGTGAGGGGCGGGGCTCACACACTGCCAGGCACGCTGTGAGGGGCTCACACACAGCCAGGCGCGCTGTGAGGGGCGGGGCTCACACACTGCCAGGCACGCTGTGAGGGGCTCACACACAGCCAGGCGCGCTGTGAGGGGGGGGGCTCACACTGCCAGGCGCGCTGTGAGGGGCGGGGCTCACACACTGCCAGGCGCGCTGTGAGGGGGGGGGCTCACACACTGCCAGGTGCGCTGTGAGGGGGGGGGCTCACACACAGCCAGGCACGCTGTGAGGGGCGGGGCTCACACACAGCTGCATTTTCACAGATGCAATTGCGTGTTTTGGCCACAAGAGAGCGCTGTTTTCCAGCCTGAGTCTATTTAATTTATTGTTTTGGTTAAGTGTTTAATTAATTTTTTATAATTTAATTTATTTGCTTTATTTGTTTTATATATAATTTATATATTTAAATTTTATTTCACATTTCATTTGCAATGTTGAATGTTCAATAAAAAGTTCCGTCTGAAATATTGTCGTTTATCGCAATAATTTCCGGGAACATTTATCGTCCAACAAAATTAATTATGGTGACGGGCCTAGTCACAATGTTTTTTTGGCTGGTGTAACCATTAGCCAGGGGTGGGTGGGTTATCGTGCTGGTTTCCCCCTCCCAAAGTAAAACCAGGAGAAACTCAAAGTCTCTGATTTAAATACGTGTTATATATTATATATATTGATCGGAGCGGCTTCAGAGTAAAAGATGCTTTTATTGTGCTCTTAAGATTGAATGAAATGCAAAGAGAGGAACTTGCTTCACAGTCACGATGTGGAAACTACCGTCACACAACCACCCCCCCCCCCCCACATGTGTCCTACCTGCTGGTCCCGGCACCACGCCCACTTTAGGCAGCTTGTGAAGAAAATTATGGCGAAATTCCTGAGCGATGATCTGAAATCAGAGGAGAGAGAGAGAACATGATTTTACTTAAACCAGCTTCATGTAAATCCAGTCCAAGTGACTGATTAGTGTGTGTGTGTGTGTGTGTGTGTGTGTGTGTGGTCTGTGTGGGTGTGTGAGTGTGTGTGATACCTGTGGTGTGTGTGTGTACGTGTGTGTGTGTGTGTGTGTGTGTGTGTGTGTGTGGTCTGTGAGTGTGTGTGATACCTGTGGTGTGTGTGTGTACGTGTGTGTGTGTGTGTTCGTATGCGAGTGCCTCTGTGTGTGAGCGTGTATCTGTGTGTGTGTGTGTGTGTGTGTGTGTGTGTACCTGAGGTGTGAGAACGCTCTGGATCCTGGAGCGTGTACCTGTGTGTGTGTGTGTGTTACCTGTGGTGTGTGTACATGTGTGTTCATATGAGAGTGTGTCTGTGTGTGTACCTGAGTTGTGAGAAAGCTCTGGATCCTGCAGCAGAGGGAGGAAGTGTGTGTGTGTGTGTGTGTGTGTGTGTGTGTGTGTGTACCTGAGGAGAGAGGAAGCTCTGGATCCTGTAACAGAGGAAGTGTGTGTGTGTGAGTGTGAGTATGTGTGTGAGTGTGTGTGTGAGTGTGAGTGTGAGTGTGTGTGCGAGTGTGAGTGTGCGAGTGTGAGTGTACCTGAGGAGAGAGGAAGCTCTGGATCCTGTAACAGAGGAAGGGTCTCTCCAGCACGCTGCTGACGGAGGGTCTCTCTCTCGGGCTGCGTCTGAACAGCAGGCCCAGCAGAGAGCGCAGGTCCTGGGAGTAATGCAGGGAGACGGGGGGGTAGGACCCCCGGATGATCTTCAGAACCAGGTTCTTCATGTTGCCGGCCTCAAACTGAGCGGAGAAACACACGATGGTGACGTGGGGAAATACTGAGGGCCATTAGAGGAACACAGTAAAGGGATACGGTAGGGGTTATTAAGGGAGAGGGGGAGACATGAGAAGTGATTTTAAAGCAAAGAAAGTCTTCAAATCAGTTTTTGTGGCCTTTGATTTAAGGACACGTTCTGCCTTTCTGTGTTTTATATTATATTACAGTGAAGACCTTTGGGTTCCAACAAAACAAAAAGAAATGTAAAGACCGTTTACACAATTTTCTTACATTTTATAAACCAGACGAATATTCTGGATGGAGAATGCACATGTCTTTTCTACATAAACATGTGTCCCCAAAATCATATATCACCTCCTTATTTCCTTTCTATGCAACATACCACCTTAAATATCAGTGACTACATTTGAGAAATGGGGGGGGGGTAATTCCCCTGGAAGTCTGATAAAAACAGGGCTAATAATTTCCTGTGTGAAACGGAGCAAACGCAGGGCTGATGTTTTCATAATTAAACAGCCCTGAGGTTAAAGCTGGGTAAACAAGGTGTGTTTGCAACGGGATCAATAATCACAGGGCTGAGGACAGACGGTGTAAAGAACCCAGACTCAGCTAAACAACATGAATGCTGCATAAAACACACACACAGTACTTACTGCATGCTTAAGGGTGCACATTTCATACAGGACACACCCAAGGGCCCAAACATCACTGCAGAGGGGACGGGGGGAGACAAGGATCAGTTCAGGGAAGATTTACATCAATCACAAAACAGTCACTTTGTATTTGCAATCCAAATATGTAAACATGTCCATTCAAATGACTGTTTCAACAGTTACTTTATCACTTTATTTTTTGCATTATTATTGTGTGTGTATTTTAATCTTTATTTTTTTCAGTGTATTTTATCTTTATTTTTGCATTATTATTTTTTGTGTATTTATTTTTAATTTTTTTTATTATTATTTTTTATAGTGTATTTTAATCTTTATTTTTCAGTGTATTTTATCTTTATTTTTTTAATTATTATTTTTTTGTGTATTTTATCTTTATTTTTTTATTATTATTTTTTATAGTGTATTTTAATCTTTATTTTTTTCAGTGTATTTTATCTTTATTATTATTTTTTTATAGTGTATTTTATCTTAATTTTTTTATAGTGTATTTTAATCTTTATTTTTTTCAGTGTATTTTATCTTTATTTTTCTATTATTATTTTTTATAGTGTATTTTAATCTTTATTTTTTTCATTGTATTTTTTCTTCATTTTTTTATTATTATTTTTTATAGTGTATTTTAATCTTTAATTTTTTTTATTGTATTTTTTTTTTTTTTTTCATTTTGTTTAGTGTATTTATCTTTATTTTTTACCTGGTGTGAATCCTGTTTTTCCCTCTGACCTGTTGCTGATGTAAACGCCTGAATTTCCCCACGGGGATAAATAAACTTCCATCTCATCTCATCTCATTTTATCTAATCTCAATAAATGGAGAAAGGGGATCTTTCTGGGACATGATGGACTGTGATGCGTAACGTAACTCAATCACTGTAAAGCAGAGTGGATTAAAGAGGAAATCAATAGTGGCTTCCTGCTGCAGCTTCACTCCATACAGAGGAGACAGGATCTCTCTAAAGAGGCTTCTACTGATCCTGCATCCCTCATGTTCTGCTGGCATTAAATATTCATTAACGACACACACACACACACACACACACACACTCCACATACTCTACCTCTTGTTGTTGTACGGTTTGTTCTCACAGATCTCAGGGGACAGGTAATACGGCGTGCCAATACACGTTCTCGCCAGCTCTACAGTGCTGGAGACAAGAAGAGAGTCATGGTTTATTACTCACACACATTGGCTTTGGAAAGATATGAACTCAGAGTATGTGATTCCCAGGAGGCCATCTGGTCATCTCATGAAATAAAAAAGCACTTTTTGAGTTCATTTAGGCCGTAACCAACTCACCAGCTCTTAATAGAGCGGAGCAGGGATGACGTGTGTCTGTAGTCCGACCCTTTGGAAGCTGCTGGTTCCCTCCACAAAAAGCAACAAGAACCCGTTTGATAAATGCACGTTTTGCTCAGCCGGATCATCTCCACATGTCTTCTCTACTTTTTTACTAATTTTAAGTTTGAAAATACTTTTATAATTGTAATTATATATATTTGTTGTGGAGGGAACCAGCAGCTTGCTTCAGGGCCTACAACAACACGTCATCCCTGCTCCACTCTATCAGGTGCTCTACACACATTTTCAAATTCAACACCTTGCAACTTTTAAGAACATCACATTTGTCCATTGTAAACATTTCCAGACTGACTTTCACAGAGGAACCTCACTTGGCTTAGCAGCACTTAAAAAAAAGAGATCTCCATCGCTCTCTCATCTATTGCAAAAACAAATGACTGTGAAAAACAGAAACATGTCAAAGAACAGTTTTCTGATCCATTGAAGTTCAAAAGCAACAGGATTTCTCCAGAGGGTTTTGGAATATTGTAAAAAATAAGATCTGTGGAAACCTGTTTGATAAATGTTTTGCTCAGCCGGATCATCTCCACACGTCTACTTTTATAATATTCTAATCATAACTCTAATGTCCAGAAGCTAAATGCTAACGTGATGCTATAAAGGAACTACAGCCGAGTCCAGCAGCACGACTTCAACGTCACGCCGACTTCAGATCCATATTCAAACACACAGATTCTAAATGGAACGAGTTGAAGCGTTTGTTTGAACACTTTGCAGGAGGCAGGGACTTGCTTTCAAGCAGAACAGGGCAAACTAACTTAGAGGAGTGTTTACGTGTTCGGCGTAATGACGTACAACGTCCTCCACGACTTCTGTAGTCCTATTCAGCCACTTGGTAACAACCATCGTTTCTCAGACACGTCAACTCTTCAGAAATCACCAGTGGGGTCACTGCTGATGGATTTAATGTCCTAGAGCAGGGGTGTCAAACTCAAGGCCCGGGGGCCAAATCCGGCCCGCGACTTCATTTTATGTGGCCCCACAAGAGCTTGCAAAGAATATAATATGTTTATTATACGGTTACATGCTACTTTACAGAAGCACGTTGCCCATAAACTACATGTCCCACAATGCATCTCAAATTTGACTTTTTCTCAGACTTTGACTTTTTGTGTCCAAATATGCCTTTTTTCTTAGAATTAGCCTTTTTCTCATAAATAGATTTTTTTTTCAAAATGTCACTTCTCTTTTTCAAAATGTGGCTTTTCTTTTTAAATCATATTGTGACATTCTTACTGAAGAGACTTGCAATTATTTGCTCTAGACTTCTGCTTTCAGACGTAGTTAATTATGAAGTTATATTAATTAATGATATAGTCTTAAAGTTACAACCGGCCCTTTGAGTGCAACCATAATGCTGATGTGGCCCATGATGAAATTGAATTTGACACCCCTGTCCTAGAACAAAATGTGATGCGTCTCAACTACAGACCTTATTTCAGCTATTTCCTAAACCCTATGGAGAGATCCCATTGGCTCTGAGACCAGGGAACAGGAAGTGGAGAGATCCCATTGGCTCTGAGACCAGGGAACAGGAAGTGGAGAGATCCCATTGGCTCTGAGACCAGGGAACAGGAAGTGGAGAGATCCCATTGGCTCTGAGACCAGGGAACAGGAAGTGGAGAGATCCCATTGGCTCAGAGACCAGGGAACAGGAAGTGGAGAGATCCCATTGGCTCAGAGACCAGGGAACAGGAAGTGGAGAGATCCCATTGGCTCAGAGACCAGGGAACAGGAAGTGGAGAGATCCCATTGGCTCAGAGACCAGGGAACAGGAAGTGGTGAAATGCTGACTCAATGAAATGAATGAATATATCCTTGTTGTCCTGAGTTTGAATCTTTATGGTTTTAGCACTACTTGTAAGTCTCTCTGGATCAAAGCGATATGTGATGTAATGTCACTAACCTGTTGAGCACCCGTGCGATCCCAAAGTCTCCGAGCTGTACGGTCCCGTCTTTAGTCAGGAATATGTTCTGAGTGCACACAATGAAAGATAAATAAAGTATAACAGAACCAACGTTAACTCAGTGAGGGGGGGTCCTGCAGTGGTACCTGGGATTTGATGTCCCTGTGGAGAATCTTCCGGTCGTGCACGTGCTTCAGAGCCAGGCAGATCTGCACAAACCAGTCCAGGACCTACCAGAGGCAGAAGACGGGGGACAGAGAAGAACAATCACATGTTAAAGGGGACCTATCGTGCAACATCCTCTTCTTCATGTCTCTTCTTCATCAACACGTGTCCCCTCTTCTTCATGTCTCTTCTACATCAACATGTGTCCCCTCTTCTTCATGTCTCTTCTACATCAACATGTGTCCCCTCTTCTTCATGTCTCTTCTTCATCAACATGTGTCCCCTCTTCTTCATGTCTCTTCTTCATCAACATGTGTCCCCTCTTCTTCATGTCTCTTCTTCATCAACATGTGTCCCCTCTTCTTCATGTCTCTTCTTCATGTCTCTTCATCAACATGTGTCCCCTCTTCTTCATGTCTCTTCTTCATCAACATGTGTCCCCTCTTCTTCATGTCTCTTCTACATCAACATGTGTCACCTCTTCTTCATGTCTCTTCTTCATCACCATGTGTCCCCTCTTCTTCATGTCTCTTCTACATCAACATGTGTCCCCTCTTCTTCATGTCTCTTCTTCATCATCAACATGTGTCTCCTCTTCTTCATGTCTCTTCTTCATCAACATGTGTCCCCTCTTCTTCATGTCTCTTCTACATCAGCATGTGTCCCCTCTTCTTCATGTCTCTTCTACATCAACATGTGTCCCCTCTTCTTCATGTCTCTTCTACATCAACATGTGTCCCCTCTTCTTCATGTCTCTTCTTCATCAACATGTGTCCCCTCTTCTTCATGTCTCTTCTTCATCACCATGTGTCCCCTCTTCTTCATGTCTCTTCTTCATGTCTCTTCATCAACATGTGTCCCCTCTTCTTCATGTCTCTTCTTCATCAACATGTGTCCCCTCTTCTTCATGTCTCTTCTACATCAACATGTGTCACCTCTTCTTCATGTCTCTTCTTCATCACCATGTGTCCCCATCTTCTTCATGTCTCTTCTACATCAACATGTGTCCCCTCTTCTTCATGTCTCTTCTTCATCATCAACATGTGTCTCCTCTTCTTCATGTCTCTTCTTCATCAACATGTGTCCCCTCTTCTTCATGTCTCTTCTACATCAACATGTGTCCCCTCTTCTTCATGTCTCTTCTTCATCATCAACATGTGTCTCCTCTTCTTCATGTCTCTTCTTCATCAACATGTGTCCCCCTCTTCTTCATGTCTCTTCTACATCAACATGTGTCCCCTCTTCTTCATGTCTCTTCTACATCAACATGTGTCCCCTCTTCTTCATGTCTCTTCTTCATCAACATGTGTCCCCTCTTCTTCATGTCTCTCTCTTCATCACCATGTGTCCCCTCTTCTTCATGTCTCTTCTACATCAACATGTGTCCCCTCTCAATTCTTCATAATCCCGTTGCACCTCTCCTCTTCTTCATCAAACACGTGTCACCCTCTTCTTCATGTCTCGTCTTCATCAACATGTGTCCCCTCTTCTTCATGTCTCTTCTACATCAACATGTGTCCCCTCTTCTTCATGCTCTCTTCTTCATCAACATGCTGTCCCCTCTTCTTCATGTCTCTTCATTCATCAACATGTGTCCCCTCTTCTTCATGTCTCTTCTTTCATCAACATGTGTCCCCCTTCTTCATGTCTCTTCTTCATCACATGTGTCCCCTCTTCTTCATGTCTCTTCTTCATCAACATGTGTCCCCATCTTCTTCATGTCTCTTCTTCATCAACATGTGTCCCCTCTTCTTCATGTCTCTTCTTCATCAACATGTGTCCCCTCTTCTTCATGTCTCTTCTTCATCAACATGTGTACCACCTCTTCTTCATGTCTCTTCTTCATCAAACATGTGGTCCCCTCTTCTTCATGTCTCTTCTACATCAACATGTGTCCCCTCTTCTTCATGTCTCTTCTATCATCAACATGTGTCACCTCTTCTTCATGTCCTCTTCTTCATCAACATGTGTCCCCTCTTCTTCATGTCTCTTCTACATCAACATGTGTCCCCTCTTCTTCATGTCCTCTTCTTCATCAAACATGTGTCCCCTCTTCTTCAGGTCTCTTCTTCATCAACATGTGTCCCCTCTTCTTCATGTCTCTTCTACATCAACATTGTCCCCTCTTCTTCATGTCCTTCTTCATCAACATGTGTCCCCTCTTCTTCATGTCTCTTCTTCATCAACATGTGTCCCCTCTTCTTCATGTCTCTTCTTCATCAACATGTGTCCCCTCTTCTTCATGTCTCTTCTTCATCAACATGTGTCCCCCTCTTCTTCATGTCTCTTCTACATCAACATGTGTCCCCCTCTTCTTCATGTCTCTTCTACATCAACATGTGTCCCCTCTTCTTCATGTCTCTTCTACATCAACATGTGTCCCCTCTTCTTCATGTCTCTCCTACATCAACATGTGTCCCCTCTTCTTCATGTTTCTCCTACATCAACATGTGTCCCCTCTTCTTCATGTCTCTCCTACATCAACATGTGTCCCCTCTTCTTCATGTCTCTCCTACATCAACATGTGTCCCCTCTTCTTCATGTCTCTCCTACATCAACATGTGTCCCCTAAACTCCTTCTGGAAAAGCTTCACAAGTCCGTCGGTACGCAAAGGCGCTTAGTGACACAAGTGACGTTACGCATTTCAGATGTTTGCCGCGCATGCGTACCAGTTATGTGCACCCCTGATTATAATGATTTGATAGGCATGGATCAGCACCAGTACATATGATTGAGTCCACAGGGGGTCCTACCTTCTCCTCTGAGAACAGAACTCCTTTCTGAGAGTTGATCTTCTTGAAGAGGTCCCCCCCCTCACAATAGTCCATCACGATGTACAGGCAGCCGCCCTCTGGAGAGCAGAGGAAACATCAGAAGAGCAGTTTCATGATTGAAATCTAAATCTAAATCTAAAGAATCAAATGTTTTGCGAGTACCTTCAAAAGACTCCTTGTACTGCACGATGTTGGGATGGCTCATGTTGGCGAGGACAGCCACCTCTTTACGAGATTCCTGCCTCTCTTTACTGGACATCTGAGAACAGGAGCACAGAGTGAGGGATGAGAGGAGCAACAGGTGTCACAGGTGAGCTCATGATGATATCAGTGAGGTGCGAGGTGCGAGGTGCGAGGTGTAGGGTGCGAGGTGCGAGGTGCGAGGTGTAGGGTGCGAGGTGCGAGGTGTAGGGTGCGAGGTGCGAGGTGCGAGGTGCGAGGTGTAGGGTGCGAGGTGCGAGGTGCGAGGTGTAGGGTGCGAGGTGCGAGGTGTAGGGTGCGAGGTGCGGGTGGTAGGTGGCGAGTGCGAGGTGCGAGGGGTGTAGGGTGCGAGGTGCGAGGTGTGAGGTGTAGGGTGCGAGGTGCGAGGTGTAGGGTTGCAAAGGGGCGGAAAGTTTCCATGGGAAGTTAAGCTGGGGAATTTTGGAAATATTCGATATATATATATATATATATATTTTTTTTTAAGTAGAACAGAACAAGTTTTAATTATTTTATTGAACAATTATTTGTTTCATTGAAGAACGAAAACAGGAATGTTGAGTTAAATATTACTCATCTGTGCATGTGATGGAGGAATGCACAGTGCCTGTAGGGGGGTTTGTTTTAGTCAAGATTATGCTCAAATATACTTTCCCCAACTATATTTAAGTTCCCTATGAAGAGCCAACGTTCAATTTTGAAAATTCCCAGTTTATTCCCATGGAAAGTTTCCATCTTTGAAAATTCCCGGAATTTTGCAACCCTAGCGAGGTGCGATGTGCAAGGTGCGATGTGCGATGTGCGATGTGCGATGTGCAAGGTGCGATGTGCGAGGTGCAAGGTGCGATGTGCGATGTGCAAGGTGCGATGTGCGAGGTGCGAGGTGCGATGTGCGAGGTGCAAGGTGCAAGGTGCGATGTGCGATGTGCGAGGTGCAAGGTGCGATGTGCAAGGTGCAAGGTGCAAGGTGCGATGTGCGATGTGCAAGGTGCGATGTGCGAGGTGCAAGGTGCAAGGTGCGATGTGCGATGTGCAAGGTGTGTAGCATTAGTCTTACTGCAGATATGCCGATCTCCTTGATGACATATTGGTGTCCATCCTCTTTGGACTTGACGAGGATCGCCTTTCCAAACGAACCTTCCCCGATCTTCTTCACCTTTTCATACCTCTCCATTTTAGTGGAAGAGCTGGCTCCTCGTGCTGGGTCTGCAAAGACATTCAGAAACATCTCAGAGCTGAGTGGGCTTTGAGCATCAAGTCAGAAGGAGTTCAAGTCCTTTACTCAGTCTTTACAAAAGGAATGCAAATACAATAAATAGAGAATTAACTGGGAACTCTATTTTATTTTATCCTCTCCTCTCTCCTCTCTCCTCTCTCCTCCCATCGTTGCAGATCTAGCTGTGTAACGATGCACTTGATATAGTAAAGGGTGCACTGGTTGTTTTATTAAATCTGATGGATTTACAGCATCATAGAGTCAGGGTTACATTATATTAAAGATTCAGATTACCATCACATGCTCAGCAGCTACAGTGACAATAACACATTTAAAATAACAATAACAATAGTGCAAGAAGGAACAGAGTAGACATGAAATAGAGCAGATTGTGTAATGCAGGAGAAGTGAAATAAATACATGTAAAATAGAATAACATGAGCAGGAAATAGTTTGTAAAATGAAAACTGTACAGTGAAATAATAAATATGTGAGATGCAGACAGATGACTGCTATGAAGATGGTATTTATGGTATGAATACACTGGGGTTAGTGTTGGTTTATAGTCCCACACAGCTGCCCGCAGTATACCGTTTTGTAATATTACTAACTGTAGTATTTCCTGTGATAATCAAATATAAATACACAGTAATGCTGTGATACAGTAAAGCAGGCTGGGATGCTGTAAAAACACACTGTAGCTACCTAGCTTACCTCACCGTTATATATTGACTAAACACAGATAGATCCCTCCTACATAAGATACACACCCTGTCAGCACACACAACAATAAGTAGTATAATTACCGTGCCTCATTTAGTAGATATCAGTGTGTACATGTAGATAAGTGGCTAATTTAGCTTACCATTAGTCTGTTTCTCTGCCGCCGTCTCTGCTAACCTGCAACTAGCCCCAGCGCTCTCCCTTTGCTGTCTTTTCATTGGCCAGCATTGTAAGTCTCGAACGTTGATTGGTTGATACAGCTGTCCGTCATGTTTCACCGGCGAAGACAGCCGTAGTCTCCACCTCCACCCACAATGTGACTGTTGCTGTGGACATTTTCCATAGCAACCGCCAGCCAATCCTGGACTGGCAACAAATAGACTTTATCCAAAAATGATGACAAATAATTTTTCATCACCTTAAAAAATGTCTTTGATATTTAACACTAATAATAATACTTACTCCTCATTGTGAAATGTGTTGTTCTTATCGACGCATAAACAATTTATTTATAATAATTATAATAGTTAGTCTTCAAACTGAATATTTTCAAAGTGCTTTTTAGTGTTTATAACCTAGATTTACAGAAACATTTAAATATAATTTAATAAAAACAAACTGCTGTAACTCCAGATGCATAACTCTCGTCACGTGACCGCCCCTCCGCACTGAGCCCCAGTAAAGATGTCTCCTTTCCCGGACGAGGTGGACGTGTTTACCGGCCCTCACTGGCGGATGAAGCAGCTGGTGGGCCTGTACTGCGATAAGGTGACTGTTAATAATAAACCCTGTCTTTAATGTGGAGCTTTATGAAGGATTAACGGACGGTTTGTGACTAACGGACGGGTGCACGCGAGCTAGCATGTTAGCATGTCGAAGCTAACTTGTTATGATAGTGTATAAGCTCCGAATGCTAACGTGCTAGCTGGATGTAGCATTCGAAGCTGATCATAGTATATATATACGAACTACCGTAATACATTAACATTAGTATATACATGAAATACATTAATATATTAGTATATTCGTTTTGACTGCTACAGCTAGCATGTTCGCTGTAGCAGTTGAAGCTAACGGACTGTCATAATATTATCTCTCCATTCTGGGGTTTGCCTTGTAACGTGTAGTTAGCGGGGTATAAACATGTGTACTCAGCATTTTGAAACATGTATTAGTTGCTAATGATACGGTTTAAAGATGACACACAGCTAAGGCTGGCTAACTGGGTTATCTTCACTAACAAGAGGTGTTGGTGTGCAACGTGCTTAAAGCATCACAACGCAAATTATATTGTGTTCTGAAACTGTTTAGGGAGGTTTTTAAAAGACATCAGCACTGTTCATATCCAGGCTGGCTGCTAACACGCAGACGTGTTCCAGTACTTGTGTGTACTCTTCTATAACCCTACTTGGCACAGTTGTGTACATATTACGCAATGTGTCTGCAGTTTATATTTCTATATATGTCTGTTGCTTGGTGAAATGATCTATTGCAGAGTATTCAAATGTACTCAGTATGTTCCTTATTGTTGTTATTTAGATGTGTTTTTACTGTGATAATGTGTATATTTGCTGCTAATGTTAACTTTTATTTTTGTTGTATTTGTATCTTAAAAAAATGTAAAAACTCTACTTTTACTCCTAAAACTTTAAGTATATTTTACTTATCATACTTTTACTTAAGTACCATTCTCGGTGCAGTACTTTTACTTGAAATTGAGGATTTTTTACAATTTTGTATTAGTATTTTTAGTCGTCTGAATACTTTCCACTTATTTGGGATTTGCCAATTATTATAATCTTAATAGCAATTATTGTGGCGGCCGTCTGTAGGGACTGGTTTTGGAACCGAAGGGTTGCCGGTTCTTGTGTTTTAGTTGGAGAGGAGCCAGGTCACCTCCTGGTAGCTGCCGAGGTGCCCTTGAGCAAGGCACTGAACCCCCAACTGCTCCCTGGCGCTAGTGGGATAAAGCAAGGTTCATGTTATAATCTAAAAGCACCAGTTGAAGTGCAACTACATAGTATTATAACTTGGATATCAGTATGAACTCAAATGATAGTGTTATTCTAAGCATCTTATTCTTTGCTTTCCCACAGCTGTCCAAGACCAACTTCTCCAACAACAATGACTTCCGCTCGTTCCTCCAGTCCCTGTGCGCCACCTTCAAGGAGTTCAAGATGCACGAGCAGATTGAGAACGAGTTCATCATCGGGCTGCTGCAGGAGCGCTGCTGCACCGTGTACAACGTGCACTCGGACAACAAGCTCTCAGAGATGCTGTCGCTCTTTGAGAAAGGCTTGCACAACGTGAAGGTAAATATAAGACATGCTGACAAAGTAGTTTGTGGTCCCGCGCGGCAGAACGGGTTTACTTTAAAGGCCGCTACGCACCCACCTGAGACCAAACAACGCGTACCGAAGGCGTCCCGACTTTTACGTCCGCTACGCCGCCCGCCTACGAACACACCGCAAAGACTTCAGTCGACCAGTGGCAATAACTGTCCTTACCAGCAGGCGGCGGTAGTGTGTATTCGTCATTCAAAAGAGGCAACAACCGGAAGACAGACTATACATCGAGAGAAGAAGAACAGACTGCGTGATATAAACAAACAACAAATAGCGTCTGGGTTCCATTGTCACTCTCTCTCGTCGATCGAAAACATGTAAACATAAAAAAGAAACTCTTGCGTCCGGGTGAGATGAAAATGAACAAGATTAGCCGTCTGTGTGTGCCTTCTCAATCGTTTGTTTTGGTCCCTCACTTCCACTTCGCTTCTCATGCACTGATTCGCTAAGCTGAACAGCCAATCAGAGTGATTTCGACATGTTGAATCGGCCGTGGGAGGTGTGAAAATGTAAAGAGACGACGGTGCGGGACACACCAACCTGAGTAGGGCGAATGCCCGACGGCCTCTGACTCCCAAAATGGTGTTGGTGTGTCCGGGGCTTAAAGGTCCAACATGCTTTAGCTCAGCTGATGGGTGATGCTAACACTCTGCCATTACACTAAATATACTGTTACACACGCTGAGCACCAACTAAACCATAATGGTTGTTTTTCCTATATGCATCCTCAATGTAAGGGTTATATCATTTAAAGCCCTCGTCTTTTAAACTGGTTGTTCTCACTATGAAACAACTTGAGATTTTATTAAATAGAAAAAGGCCGGACACAGAAAGATTTAGGCTGAGCTGTTTAATAAAGAAAGGCTTGTGTTTGTGATGTGATTATAGAAGAGGGATTGTTCTCTCTCTCCACGGGAACTCTCCAGGATGATGTAACTGTAAATCTGAACGTCCGCTCTGTTTGTTAAACATTTGGTATTTTGGGATTGATCATCTCTGTCCTCGGGGAATACGTTTCTCCTCAGATTAAGAAATACAGTGCTGAGGTTTTTAATTCAGCGTTCTTCACTTCACTGCAGAGAGGACTTCTGATTGCTAAAGACTGAAGTGTATATATTATAATCAATGCATCCTGTTTCCAGACCCCCTGCTGTGACAGGCGTTTGCAGATCAGAGAAAGAGTGTTTCGCAGCATGATACATTAGATTAGATTAGAGGTACTTTATTGATCCCAAATTCAGAAAATGTTGCGTTGCAGCAGCATAAAAAGCACAAAACAAACAAGGCCTTGCACAGAAGTAGAAATAAACAATACTATAATTTAAACATCTCAAAAATAGAATTAAAGCAGCTTTAAAAAGTAGAAAATATACAGTAGACGGTGAAGATAAAACAAATCTATAAACTCTGACAATAAAACAATTGAATGGATAATTACATTAATATGCTCCTATTTGTTTACTTAACTCAGTGAATATGTCATTAGTTAATGCAGGGGGTCTGCGGGGTCTTAAAGTATTAGAAGTTGATAAATCAATTTAGCGAAAATGAAGGCTATTAAAAAGTATTAAAAAGTATTAAACAGCATTTTCCAAGGTATTACATTTTGTAGCTGGTTTCCAATAAGTATATCAATTGTCCAAAGAGGTTGTATTCTACAGTCTGCCTGAATGTAATCATTGCGTAGGTGTGTAGTGTGATTCTGTGTAGTTTATTTATGGCATCCCGTTGGATGTGACGTCATCTGAACAGGACATCGCACGCTCACTGCTTGATAGCGCGAAGCTCCGTTTACGCCGGTTGTTAAACAACATCGTTATGGGGAAATGCAAGTCTGCGTCCAAATGGTTGGAAGATAAGGAGGAAGGACAATCAATACTGTATATAGTCAATGTGAGGTAAAGTGTGTCGCCAAGGTAACCGGTTAAAACTCAAAGTGGAGATGAGGTCTTCAAATGTATGGAAAGGGTCTTAAAAAAGGTCTTCCATCACTTCAGGAGTCCTGCATGTACCCTGGATTGATAATATGTGATGTCCACAATAGGTCAGACGTCACATCGGCAGATATCCAAAATCCTGCGTCCCCCCTATGAACCCTATTTGCTGTGTTACAATTTAGAGAGCCTGTTCTGAAATCAAGTGACAGGATTGTAAAGGAATTCATTTTTTTTCTTTTTTAAATGAATAATATTTTCTGTGTTTTCAGAGTGAATATGAGCAGCTGAACTACGGCCGGCAGCTGAAGGAGAAGCTGGAGGCGTTCACTCAGGACTTCCTGCCCCACATGAAGGAGGAGGAAGAGGTACGACGTGTTCACCTCCATATTGATTACATAACATTTAATTCATTGATTCCCCAAAGACACGTTCTGCAGGGAGAGGCATCTGAGTTATAACCTAGTGATCCACCTGTGCACATAGAAACGTCAGCACCTGCATATGGAGGGACATTTTCACTAGGGATCGACCGATATGGCTTTTTCAAAGCCGATACCGATTATTAGTAATCAAGGAGACCGATAACCGATATTTGGAACCGATATACATTTGCAGTCAAATCAGAAAATCTTGGTGTCAAAATGTAGAATAACTTCTTTGAAATGCCTTTTTATGTTTAATGAACTTTTCAACATCTTAAAACTGGTTTCCTCTCTGTGACCCTGAGTAAAGTAAATAAATATTAAATAAGATAAAAACTACTAAAACTTGTTCTGAACTTCTGATATTTGAGTCTCAGTCATTTATGGCGCGTTTCCACTACACGGCCTCGCTCGGCCCCGCTCGGTATGGCTAGGCCTCGTTAGGACTGGCTCACTTTATGGCGCATTCCCATTACAGTTTAGGAACTGGGGTAGTATCTATAGTAACGCAGTGTAGGCGGAGCCGTGACGTCATCTTCAATGAGAACCCCAGAAAAACAACACAGCCGTTAGCTGTTAGCACTCAGAGCTCACAGCTCCTCATATCTGTTCAGAAACTAGACAAAAGTTAAACAAGTACAAACCACAGACTGCCTGTGTCATGGTGAATACAGTCGCTGCTTTATTTATGTCTGTATAGGCCGTTGTTGTGAGTGTGGACGGTCGGAGCATATACTGCGTTAGCTTAGCCAATCTCCATTTAGAAAACACGCATTTTAAAAGGTGTTTCGCCTGCCGTCTGTCTGCAGACTTGACAAAGCATTAATTCATGGTTTGTACTAACCGGTATCAGTATGTTGTTACTTCATCATTTTGAAACGTGTATTACAATTAAATCACGGTCAAATATGTCCATCTTGTTGTAGTTGTAGCCCCCTTGCCAGCGATGCTCTCTCTAGTTTAGCATACTCAGCCCGACTCAGCCTCGTTGTCTCTGGCCCTAGACCCACGATTTTATGAGGCCAGAAAAACTGTGAATTAGGACCCGCCGGCCGGTACTAGGCCAAGTGGAAACGCAACCAAAGACGGGCCGCTGACGTCACAGCCCTCTTAAACCGTGCTGCGCGCTGTAGTGGAAACGCGCCATTAGTAGTCCCAGTTCAGCAGGTTGTGATGCAGAAAGCAGAGTTGCTGCGAGGCCCAGTCGTCCCAGCGCGTCACAGTTTCTAAATCACCGGACTAAATAATTAGTTGGTCGATGTGGATCTTTTTGGAGGGTTATTGAGGATTCTTATTCCATTTCTGACATTTCCAGGATCAATAATGTCAGTTTTAACCAGAAAGAGGCCATATCTGTACCCTCTGTGGGCTGAGTAGTGTCGCGACTATTGGATATAGAAATGAACATTATTACCTCGACTCAGGAATTTATTTTCAAATAAATAAATAAACAATCTGTCCAATAAAAATGAGTCCCCTAAATCTTCAGCATCGACCCCAAAAAGAGAACAAATGTGGCCACCGGTTAAAACTGACTTCTGATCCTGTAAATGTCAGAAATGCACTCAGCATCCTCAATCGTGCAGACAGACTCATATGTGTTGGAGAGGAGAGGAGAGGAGAGGAGAGGAGAGGAGAGGAGAGGAGAGGAGAGGAGAGGAGAGGAGAGGAGAAGCGGAGAGGAGAGGAGAGGAGGAGGAGAGGAGAGGAGAGGAGAGGAGAGGAGAGGGGTATAATAACCTACAGATGTAACCTGAAGGTATGTGTTGGAGAGGAGAGGAGAGGGGAGGAGAGGAGTGGAGAAGAGAGAAGAGAGGAGAGGAGAGGAGAGGAGAGGGAGAGGAGAGGAGAGAGAGGAGAGGAGAGGAGAGGGGGGGGAGAGGAGAGGAGAGGAGAGGAGAGGAGAGAGGAGGAGAGGAGAGGAGAGGAGAGGAGAGGACGAGGAGAGGAGAGGAGAGGGGAGGGGAGGAGAGGGGAGGGGAGGGGAGGAGTGGAGTGGAGTGGAGAGGAGAGGAGAGGAGAGGAGGGGAGAGGAGGGGAGAGGGGTTTAATAACCTACAGATGTAACCTGGAGGTATGTGTTGCAGGTGTTCCAGCCGATGCTGATGCAGTACTTCTCGTACGAGGAGCTGAAGGACCTGAAGAAGCAGGTGATCGCTCAGCACTGCAGCCGGCACCGAGCGGCCGACCGGCTGAAGGGCTTCAGTCTGTGGAGTCAGGCCGAGGAGCTGCAGAAAGCCTTCAAATACGCCGACCACGAGAAGACCCACTATGGTCCGTCCACACACTCACTCATGTTCCAAATACCGTATTGACCCTGATAACAGAGTGGTGCAGTGACGAGTCCTAAAGCCAGGAAGTGAGTCAGCAGTTCTCCACTTCCTGATCCCTCGTCTCAGAGCATTGGGGACAATATCTGGAAATAAGGTCTGTGGTTGAGACGCATTGAAGAGACGCATCACGTTTTGTTCTACGGCATTAAATCCATCAGCAGTGACCCCCCCCCCCCCCCCCCCCCCACTGGTGATTTCTGAAGGAATATGGATCTGAAGTTGGCGTGACGTTGAAGTCGTGCTGCTGGACTCGGCTGTAGTTCCTTTATAGCAGGGGTGTCAAACTCAATTTCATCACGGGCCACATCAGCATTATGGTTGCACTCAAAGGGCCGGTTGTAACTTTAAGACTATATCATTAATTAATATAACTTCATAATTAACTACGTCTGAAAGCAGAAGTCTAGAGCAAATAATTGCAAGTCTCTTCAGTAAGAATGTCACAATATGATTTAAAAAGAAAAGCCACATTCTGGAAAAACATTGATTGTGACATTTTGAAAAAGAGAAGTGACATTTTGAAAAAAAAATCTATTTATGAGAAAAAGGCTAATTCTAAGAAAAAAGGCATATTTGGACAAAAAAAGTCCAATTCTGAGAAAAAGTCAAATCTGAGATGCATTGTGGGACATGTAGTTTATGGGCAACGTGCTTCTGTAAAGTAGCATGTAACCGTATCATAAACATATAATATTCTTTGCAAGCTCTTGTGGGGCCACATAAAATGAAGTCGCGGGCCGGATTTGGCCCCCGGGCCTTGAGTTTGAGACCCCTGCTTTATAGCATCACGTTAGCATTTAGCTTCTGGACATTAGAGTTATGATTAGAACATTATAAAAGTAGAGACATGTGGAGATGATCCGGCTGAACTAAACATTTATCAAACAGGTTTCCACAGACCTTATTTCCAGATATTTTCCTAAACCCTCTGGAGAGATCTCACTGCCTTTAGTGGAGGGTGGATACGTCCTCCCTGCACCCTCTAGAAGACCACCCCTCTTTCTCAAGACTCATTTTTGGAAAAATACCTTTTTGCGGACCTTGGGATGCTCTTCTCTTAAAGGCAGTCTTTTTGGGCTCTCCATCTTCTCACGTTACTCTCAGTAACTCCATGTTTCTTTGCGACTGGACAGCTGTTTGATGACTTCGTTGATCTCCATTATCTTAAAATTGGCATCGTAACTCCTCTCTGGTTTAATAACTCGCCTACTTTTGATCTCTCCATCTCTCCATCTCTCTCTCTCTCTCTCTCTACTGTCACTTTAAGACGGTGTCTCTCTATTAGGGCTGCACGATTTGGGGAAATAATCTAATTGCGATTTTTCTGACAGATATTGCGGTTCGATTTGCCATATTTGTTTTTAAGCGACCCAACGGAAGTTTATTGTGAAATGCAGCCATATCTCCGGCTAGGAAGGTCGTATCAACTCCCGTCTCTAGCACCCCCGAGCTACGAGTGAAAGAACTAAACTCACATGAAACCTCCGTTGGGTTGCTTTAAAGTCAAGCTTCAGTTTCAGATTCTCCCTGTAATAGAAACATGTGATGGAGCGTCACTAACCTGACTCAGAAACCATCAGGAGAGCTCCACTGAACCCATTTGCAAAGGGCAGGCACTTTCAAACATACTTGGCAGGTGATTGGATCAATCTGTCTATCACCTTCTATCATGGGCCACTTCTGATTGGCTAACAATGGCTGGTACATGTGGAGCACAGCACTTCTGATTGGTGTGGATGACTGACACACAAGAACTTAAAATCAATGAATTGTTCAGCCCTACTCTCTCTCTCTCCTGTTGAACTGTTGCTTTAAGACGAACACTCGTTTGGCGCCATCTGTTGGTGTGACTGTGTAATTACATCGAAAAGTCCGAATATAAGACGACCCCTCTTTTTCAAAAACCCGTCTTATATTGCGCTCGTTACTCTGAAGGCAAGCGAGCCGGACGTCTTTAGTTATTAGGAGAGTTGCTTCAAGTTTTTTTTATATTCTACCAAGTAAATATTTCTGAATATATAAATATAAATTGATTGACTTTATTGATCCCAGTTGTTAAAAACAAGGCATTGCACATCAGATCTCTAAATCAATGGTTTCCTCACCAGATCAGAAGTCGTTGTGTAACTTCTGTTTTCTAACTGGCTGTTCCCCCCCTCCCTCCCCCCCCCCTCAGAGCTGGAGAAGACGAGGAGCCCGTCGACACACATCTCCCAGCTCCCTGCAGAGATCCTGCTGAGGCTCTTCCACTCCCTGAGTCCTGCAGAGCTGCTCCGCTGCAGCCAGGTGTGCAGGTCCTGGTCCGAGCTCGCCCAGACCGGCTCCCTGTGGAGACACCTGTTCCCCGTGCACTGGGCCAGAGGTACGGGACTCAAGAGGCTCTTACTGTCATGTGTTCAGAGCTACTAGGGGGTGGGGGAAATCATCGATACAGCGTTGGACGCCAAGTATCGATGTTTAATTATTTAAACCGTAGCATAAGACGGTCGTACACTTCACTGATGATTCTGATTTATTGAAAACTCCAAAAACCAACAAAGACTCACAACAACAAATACATTTAAGCTCCATCCATATGAGACTCTAGAATACCATTCAGCAAGCGCACTTCAAATAGTTAGCAAAGTTATAACACAGTATCTCCACGAAGACTCACAGCACACGTTCACACTGAGCCCTGAGCCGCTTGCTAACACTTTCATGTGAACTTTTTCTTTTGATATCGCCGTATTTAAATGTTGATATCTCCGTTAATATCTGTACTCTAACTCCGTTCTTTTTCTCCGTCAAGTCTTTGCTTTGGGAACTTCCTGCTGATAGCGCAAAGTCGCCTTTAAAATAAGTAATTGCAATGAAAGCAACAAAAACATCTCCTTTTCAGGTTCAAAGAACACACTTTGGGTTTTTCACATAAACTATTCATATTGCAAATACGTGTTTTACCCAGGAAGGGAAGACGGGCATGGATATGACCCGTTTGATGTGATGTGATGTGATTCGCAATATATCGTATCGTAGGACTCATCGTAGCTCTAGGGGAGGCTGTGGCTCAGTGGGATAGTGTGCTGGACTTCGAATCAGGGGGTTCAAACCCCACTGCAGTCAGCATGTCGTTGTGTCCCTGAGACACTTCACCCCAAAGTGCTCCTGTGGGGATTGTCCTCAGTACTGAGTATGTAAGTCTTTGGATAAAAGCGACTAACATGTAATGTAATGTATCGTGGCTTAAGAATCGCGATAGTATTGTATCGTGCGGCAGCCTGGTGAGACCCCACCCCTAATATCTTCAGTGTAGATATATCAATGAACATCTGAGGCTCCTCCTCCAACAGAGCAACACAATAACACAGATACAATAGCATAGAAATAGTGCAAAGAGAGTCTATAGACAAGTGATTGGAGTATGATATATTAGATAAATAATGTGTAAGTTACAAACCGATGAGTGCTCTGTGTCGTGGCTTCCTCCCTTGTCTTCCCATCAAGCCACTCGACGCCTTCAACAGACATTTCTAACTCGTTGCTTTCCTTTAACTGACTCACAGTTTGAAGAGTTGCTTGGCCTCCGATGGTTTAGATGATGTTACGATGTGTTTGCTCAAAATAAAATAACACACTTTCACACATGCAACAAAGAAAAGAGGCCTTTACAAAAACTTGTGTATTCGTTCTTTCTTGATAATGCTTATAACTTCATAACTTAAAGGGTACTTTACGATTTGTACGTGTAGTACGGTTAAAAACTGTTCCTCGACGGCGTCTCTCTAGCACTGGCTTTAGCGCAGGCGCCGTGGGAATGGTAGTCCTTTATAGTGCGGTGACTACAGACATCACAATTAACTGGCCTTTCTTATAAAACCAAAATACTGGCTCTCACATTCTGGATGTTTCTAAAGCTCAGGAGTCTCATGACGGCACAGATTCACACAGATTAGAGATTAATAACATTAAAGATCAAATCAGAGATACAAATAAAATGATATTTAAGTAACTATAAAATTAGAATTGAATTCAAATGAACATGTATACATATTAGGGTCATATATACATATTAGACATATTAACATGTGTATATCTATATATCTGAGACGTGTAATACATTGCTCAAATATAGCAGAACAGGAGAGCTTTCAAAGAGTGTGCTGGTGTTGCCCTGCTGATGGATGATGTCTGCTCTTCAGGGGATTATTACAGCGGCCCCCCCGGGGACCTGGACCAGGAGCCGGACGAGGAGTGGGTGAGCAGCCGGCAGAAAGAGGGCCGGGCGTACCAGGAGTGGGACGAGGACGCCGACGTGGACGAGTCCGGTGAGACGAGAGACATGAGAGCATGAGCAGAGGGTTCAGATGTTTAACTTCAGAGCAAGAGATACTAATATATACTGTTCTCATGAGTCCTGTTGTTGTTGTTCAGATGAGTCCTGTTGTTGTTCTCATGAGTCCTGTTGTTGTTGTTCTCTGTGTTCAGATGAGTCCTGTTGTTGTTGTTCTCATGAGTCTTGTTGTTGTTCAGATGAGTCTCTGAGCTCTCGAGGCTGCCTGGCCATCACCACGGCTCAGAGAGAGAAGAGGCTTCTGAACGGGCTGATCCAGAACCTTCTCCCCGCGGTGGGTCCGTCTGTCCGGTCCGTGGTTCTGGCCTACAGCTCCACGGTCTCCAGTAAAATGGTACGCAGCGTCTTTCCTCTGTAAACATCTCAGTATAAAGATCAGATCTAATATTACTGTCCTTTCCCCCAGGTGCGTCAGATCCTCAGTTTCTGCCCCAACATCTCCCACCTGGACCTGACCCAGACCGCTGTGACGGACTCTGCGTTCGACAGGTAAGCATGAAGGCCTAGGAGGTGAACTGGCTCCAAGACCAAGTCCCTACAGCCACAGATGCCCCTTTCACACCAAGCACCAAAGAATGGTCGGTCTAGAGCAGGGGTCGGCAACCTTTTTGATATGAAGTGCCATTTAAAAAAAAAAAAAATTATCAGCGTGCCAACGATCGAGAATTATCAACGGGGGGGGGGGGGTGTTGAGGATGTTGAGGAGCTTGACGCTCGTGATCTATCAACAGGAGGGCGGGGGGGCCTCGCTGCGGGGAGGCAGTGTGTGGACCTGTCAGCGCAACTTACATGATACCGAATTTAACAAACACATTTAAATAATTGGTTTAAACGGCATAATAATAAGGACGATCGTCCGTTCTGTGATTCTCCAGAACACACATGTTATGATATTAGGGTCATGCAGAGTGAGATGAGATCGCTGTCCCTTTAAGAGAGAGAGAGGGGGGTGTGGCGTGTGCGTGTGAGTATGTTTCTGGAAGTGAAACGAGGCAGCAGAAAAACAGAGGTCTGTGATGTATTTTGTGAAACAGAAGAACAGCTAAATAAATGCAACGGCCTCTCAAGAAGAGCTCGCCTCTCTCCAGTCATTTAAGCTAAAGTGGGTTATTGAACCTGAAGCTTGTTGCTTCTGCCCTCCTCGACTACGGTCTGGGAGCCGACAGGAAAGTTCAACACACAGATGGCCAGTCCGCCCCTTTGTAGCATATTATTTCAATGAGAGATGAGCAGATCGCCACTGGGCTTTCAACTAAAGACACACACAGCCACGCAAAAACTGCGACATTTGTAAAGCTCCTTATGGGTACTGCAATTTGTGAAGTGCTTTCTTCCGTGGTGAAACGATCAGCACTGCACCACGGAGGAAAGCGGCAGAAAGTCACCTGGAGTTAAAGAGAGCGGGGCTGCGCTGCGTGCATGGCTTCCTTCTGCAGGTAACGGGGAGACGCGCTCTGGCGGCGGTCTCGTTCAGGATCCGAAAATACAATTTAAATATTTTGCACACTTATTCGACTTATTCCTAGTGTGCCACTGGCTACGGTGCCGCGTGCCAATGCTGGCACGCGTGCCAATGCTGGCACGCGTGCCAGGGGTTGCCGACCCCTGGTCTAGAGGCAAGAACCGCAAACGTGACGCTTACGTCGGAGGGGGGGGGGGGCGGGATCAACCTGAGCTAACAGTTCATGGCGAGTACAAGTTGTACCAAGCAGTAGGGATGGGAACGATTAATCGAATATTCGAAATTATTCAGGTATTCGAATATGAGTTATGAATATTTATATTAATTTTTTCCTTTGTTTTTTTGGGAGGGATGCCTAAGTTGATTACATATTATCAAATTGAATAATTCAATGTATACGACAGTGCCATAGCTAAATGTGTTAGGTGACGTCTAAAGGTGTGTTTTGCTCCGCTCACCGGTCCCTCACAGCGGGCAGAGCTGCAGGTGCTGATCTCTCTCTCGTGTCCGGTACTTCACTCGCGTTTATGTCCAAATCCATCAGATCTAGCTAGTTCTAGCTAATGATATGGCTGCTGCCCCTGCCTACACGCAGATCACTCAGACTCAAACCTCATCTTATGCCCAAATGAGGCGCAAATGCGCTCCGCAGCCGTTGCGAGGTTCCGGCGCTAACAGTTCATGAGCGTGCTCCCCCGCCCCCTGTCAACACTCGCGACACATGAGTGGCCAGCCTAAACAACAATAAGCGCTGCTTGGCAACCGTGTGTGGCGGCAAAGTACATAGACATTTTGACAGGAGAGATTTAGTTTTGCCGGTATTCAACATATTTGACCAGTCATAGTCCGGTCATTATTTACACTCTAAGAAGAGTCCTACACAACAGACATGGCGTCAAGAAGGAGTAATGTGTGGAAATATTTCGACCAGGTTAGTGAGTGCGGTGTAGAGTGCAAACTATGCCAAATTAAACTTATATATATACATACTATACCTTGCTATACCTGAGAGGGTCTTCTCTACAGCTGGCCTGATTGTGAATCGCCTCCGCATGAAAGCTGTAGGCCTATAGCTGTCAAACTGTGATCACCAGTTCAATACATTTGACAAATTCGACTTGGTTTCTATACTTATTTGAACATGTATTTATTTATTTCCAAAAGTTATTTAAAAAAATTGTTTCGAAAAAAAATGTTAGACATTATTTTTTGACCCCATTTTTTTTTTATAGGATATGTACATACCGGTTAACCGTTTTTTGGGGGGTCGAATACTCGAATATACATTTGCTTTCAAATTCCCATCCCTACCAAGAAGTAGCGCTGAGCAAAGTGACTAGAAGGCAACCACACACTTTATAAAGTCAGGCAACACTAACCAGGCTTCGTGTGATTCTGTTTATTTGTACCTTACTTTGACCATCCGTTCGCTGTTATTGATCATTGTGGAGAGCAGGCAGACGTTTGTTATTATAGCAGCTATCGGATGGAATCAATACATGGGCTGCACAGGTTGTCATGTCCGACTATCACAAGTAGAATCATAATGAAAAATACGCCGGTAAAAAGTGCCTGTAGAAAACTGCTTAGCAAGTAGTCAGTTTAGCTTCGGTTGCTATGCTAACATCACCCATGTTATACCAGAGAAACTTTCATAACAGCGTTGTGATGCCAAACAGCGTCAATTCAGACTGACACACATTCACTTAAGGGGAACTGGGGATATGTATCAGCTGCTTGTGTGACAGTCAGACAGTGAATACTTTAGAGCCGTGTGAGCTAACCCGGAGCTAACGGGAGAATAAACTCCCGTGGAAGAGCAGCAGCACTGCAGCGGTCGCTAAATGAAACACATTAATAAACAATGAACCACGGCACTCTGGAGAAAAGTATAAGGTTGGAGAAGTCGTTATTTAATTTAATCTGGCTTCGTATGATTAAAAGCAACACGATCATCGACCCGACGCAGTCCCCCGTTGTTGTTGTTGTTGTGGGAAAATCAGCGATGTAAACGGTGACGTCATGACGCAGCAGCGGCAGCTCTGGGCGGTGTGAACAGAGCGGGAGCTGCGCTGGTCTGAACGGGGCATCAGCAACGTGCCTAAAGGGCTCTTACACAGATGATCCTTTTAAGGGGTTAATTATTCCTTACACCTGTACTCAGAACCAGAACCAGAACCTTTATTCGTCCCACAGGGGGGATGTACATCGTGCAGACACAAGTATTAAAGATTACACAATTTACAAAATACACATCCTGTAACAGTTCTGAGGATTTAGCAGCCAGGTGTATAATGCACAGTTGTACTCACCTGTACTCACCTGTACTCACCTGTACTCTTCCCCCCCCTGCAGCTGGTCCTCCCCCCCCCCCCCTGAAGCACCTGGACCTGTCTGGCTGCGAGCAGATCACTGACGGTTCCCTGAGGAGGCTGTCGGGGGGAGACTTCAGACGCTCAGAGAGACGAAGAGACAAACTCCTCCTGAACACAAACTCCTCCTCCATCTCCTCCTCCTCCATCACCTCCTCCTCCTCCATCACCCCCTCCTCAAACCCCACCCCCCTGGAGGAGAGGAGCAGGAAGAAGAGGCAGAACTTCCTCTTCAAACAGAAAGTGTGGCTGCTGGACTCCTCGGAGCTGGCGGACATCGAGGACGCCGCAGAGTGGAGCCGCCGGGGGGGGGGCGTCCCTCCCTGCGTTAGGGTTAGTGGAGGCTCAGTTAGGAGGGGGGGGCTGCTGCTGTAGGAGGCGGAGCTCTAACACCCCACCCCCCCTCCTGCAGCAGCTCCCTGAGGCCTTCTGCGGTCACTCCACCTGCTGCTCCGACCCCTCATTCAGGACTCTCTCTGGGGCTGCAGAGCTCCGGACTAAATGCTCTTCCCCCTCCCCCTCCCCCTCCTCCTCCTCCTCCTCCTCCTCCTCCTCCTCCTCCTCCTCCTCCCTGGGGGGTCCGCTGGGCCCTGGGGGGGGGCAGAGGACGGAGACCAGGCGCTCCCTGAAGTTCCTCAGCCTCTCCGGGTGCTACCAGGTCACAGATCTGGGTTTGAGGTGAATATCAGGCATCGCTGCTTCTCCTAATCATCTCATCGTAGAATCAGAATCAGTTTATCACCAGCTGCGTTCACACGGGGATCTGCTCTGGGCTCTGGCGCTGCGAGCAGAAACAATCCAAACTAATGAGCTGCAAAGAAATATATAAGGATAATACAAACTAAGTATTTTTAAGAAACAATTTAGCGTTTAAAAAGGATTCTAAAAACAAGTATTTACACCAGATTTACTAAACAAATACCCTTAAAAGCTAAAAACCAAAACACTTAGGACAATGAGTATAAGACAAACTGCAGAGTGATATAAAGTGGAGCGTTGAGAGTTGAGCAGGAACGTGGCTCAGTGTTAACAAACACAAGTATTTAAAATGAACTATTTGAAGACTTTTGTTAAAAATGTGCACGACATATATTTGTGTGAGACTGAGGTCAGTTAAATATAGTTTATAATTATATTTGTCCACTTTCAAACTCTCTCTGTTTCTCTCTAATAACCCATGTTATCTGGAGGCGCCTTTAATCAAAGCTTTCCACGGGTTAAAGAAACGTCTTCATATCAAATACAGACAGAGAAAGAGTTTGAAACAGGTGGAGTGTGGGACAGGAAGCAGCTCTGATCTGAGCAGGTGAGTTTGGAGGAGGGGCTTGAATGTAGTGATTGTGTAAATAGAATAAATTACCTCGTTAAAAAGAACGGATTCAGCCCAACATGTGACAACCAGTGCGTCTCTGATTGAGGAAAGGACTGTTTGTATGAGTCTACATTTATTACAACAACAAGATTCTCATTTGGCGCTTTCTATAATGCCCCTTTCACACCAACGCAACTCCGGTTCAAGCTCCGTGCTAGAGCTTTTCTGGTTCAGAACCGGTTCTTCGGTTTAGCTCCGGCTCTTTTCACACCGCTCAGAGCCCGACTGGTGCTGCCGCTGCTGCGTCATGACGTCACAGTTTACGTCGCTGAGTTTCTCCCCAACGCCGGAGCTCACCTCACAACAACAACGGGCCGGGGACTGCGTTGCTTTTAATCATACGAAGCCAGATTAAATTAAATAACGACTTCTCCAACCTTATACTTTTCTCCAGAGTGCCGTGGTTCATTGTTTATTAATATGTTTCAGCGGCATTTACCGACCGCTGCAGAGCTGGCTGCTCTTCAACGGGAGTGTATTCTCCCGTTAGCTCCGGGTTAGCTCACACGGCTCTAAAGTATTCACTGTCTGACTGTCACACAAGCAGCTGATACATATCCCCAGTTCCCCTTAAGTGAATGTGTGTCAGTCTGAATTGACGCTGTTTGGCATCACAACGCTGTTATGAAAGTTTCTCTGGTATAACATGGGTGATGTTAGCATAGCAACCGAAGCTAAACTGACTACTTGCTAAGCAGTTTTCTACAGGCACTTTTTACCGACGTATTTTTCATTATGATTCTACTGATAGTCGGACATGACAACCTGTACAGCCCATGTATTGATTCCATCCGATAGCTGCTATAATAACAAACAAAACGTCTGCCTGCTCTCCACAATGATCAATAACACCGAACGGATGGTCAAAGTAAAGTACAAATAAACAGAATCACACGAAGCCTGGTTAGTGTTGCCTGACTTTATAAAGTGTTTTTTTTTTAACAAGTGTGTGGTTGCGTTCTAGTCACTTTGCTCAGCACTACTGCTTGTTACAACTTTTATTTGCCGTACTCGCCTTAACTGTTAGCTCAGGTTAATCTCGCCCCCCTCCGACGTAAGCGTGACGTATGCGGTTCTTGCTTCTAGACGGACAACTTTTTGGTGCTCGAAACGAACCGGATTCCGGAGCTATGACGCTGCTCCGCTGCGGTGTGAACAGGAAAACCCGGTGCTTTTCAAGCACCAGCACCGAACCGGCCCTGAAACACCGTTGGTGTGAAAGGGGTAACTGGGACTCTGAGACTCTGGGACTCTGAGACTCTGAGACTCTGTGACTCTGAGACTCTGAGACTCTTACCCCTTTCACACCAACGGTGTTTCAGGGCCGGTTCGGTGCTGGAGCTTGAAAAGCACTGGGTTTTCCTGTTCACACCGCAGCGTCATAGCTCCGGAATCCGGTTCGTTTCGAGCACCAAAAAGTTGTCCGTCTAGAAGCAAGAACCGCATACGTCACGCTTACGTCGGAGGGGGGCGAGATTAACCTGAGCTAACACTTAAGGCGAGTACGGCAAATAAAAGTTGTAACAAGCAGTAGTGCTGAGCAAAGTGACTAGAACGCAACCACACACTTGTTAAAAAAAACACACTTTATAAAGTCAGGCAACACTAACCAGGCTTCGTGTGATTCTGTTTATTTGTACCTTACTTTGACCATCCGTTCGCTGTTATTGATCATTGTGGAGAGCAGGCAGACGTTTTGTTTGTTATTATAGCAGCTATCGGATGGAATCAATACATGGGCTGCACAGGTTGTCATGTCCGACTATCACAAGTAGAATCATAATGAAAAATACGCCGGTAAAAAGTGCCTGTAGAAAACTGCTTAGCAAGTAGTCAGTTTAGCTTCGGTTGCTATGCTAACATCACCCATGTTATACCAGAGAAACTTTCATAACAGCGTTGTGATGCCAAACAGCGTCAATTCAGACTGACACACATTCACTTAAGGGGAACTGGGGATATGTAACAGCTGCTTGTGTGACAGTCAGACAGTGAATACTTTAGAGCCGTGTGAGCTAACCCGGAGCTAACGGGAGAATACACTCCCGTTGAAGAGCAGCCGGCCAGCACTGCAGCGGTCGGTAAATGCCGCTGAAACATATTAATAAACAATGAACCACGGCACTCTGGAGAAAAGTATAAGGTTGGAGAAGTCGTTATTTAATTTAATCTGGCTTCGTATGATTAAAAGCAACGCAGTCCCCGGCCCGTTGTTGTTGTGAGGTGAGCTCCGGCGTTGGGGAGAAACTCAGCGACGTAAACTGTGACGTCATGACGCGGCAGCACCAGTCGGGCTCTGAGCGGTGTGAAAAGAGCCGGCGCTAAACCGAAGAACCGGTTCTGAACCAGAAAAGCTCTAGCACGGAGCTTGAACCGGAGTTGCGTTGGTGTGAAAGGGGCATCTGAGACTCTGGGACTCTGAGACTCTGGGACTCTGAGACTCTGGGACTCTGAGACTCTGGGACTCTGAGACTCTGAGACTCTGGGACTCTGGGACTCCCAGCAGCTTCTACTGAAGCCTTCAGAGGAAATCGCCAGAACGCCGACACCTCCTCATCTCCACCGCTCCCATGTTTTATTTTGTGTTGCCATAAGTTAATCTCTCTGCGTTTGTGCGCTGGGCTAATGCTAATGCTAATGCGAGCAGATAAAATGGCGGCTTCACAAAACTCTTTGGGAGTTTTACGGGGCGTGGTTTGCAATCCTCCCAGCCAATCAGACATAGGAACCTCTTTCTCCCATGAAAGTACCGGAAAAGGGGGTGGAAAGTTTCTCATGAACTAAGTTCTAGTTCCGGCTCTTTTTGGTGTGAACGCGACATTTCCCGAACTATACCGGCACTAAAGTGGTAAAAGTACTCTGGTGTGAACGCGCTTATTGAGTCTATTTATGGCGCATTTCCACTACACGGTCGGCCTCGGCCACACTCTGTACGGCTCGGTACGGCTTGGCCGCGTTGGGCCTTAACAGGGCCGACTCACTTCATGCTGCGCTTCCATTACAGTTTAGGAACTGGGGTAGTTACTATAGTAACGCAGTGTAGGCGGAGCCGTGACGTCATCTTCAATGAGAAATCCAGAAACACAACACAGCCGTTAGCTGTGAGCACTCAGAGCTCACAGCTCCTTATATATGTGTTCAGAAACTCGACAAAAGTTAAACAAGTACAAACCACAGACTGCCTGTGTCATGGTGAATACAGTCGCTGCTTTATTTATGTCTGTATAGGCCGTTGTTGTGAGTGTGGACGGTCGGGGCATATACTGCGTTAGCTTAGCCAATCTCCATTCAGAAAACACGCATTTTAAAAGGTGTTTCTCCTGCCGTCTGTCTGCAGACTTGACAAAGCATTAATTCATGGTTTTTACTAACCGGTATCAGTATGTTGTTACTTCGGCATCATTTTGAAACGTGTATTACAATTAAATCACGGTCAAATATGTCCATCTTGTTGTAGTTCTAGCCCTCTTGCCAGCGCTCCTCTCTCTAGTTTAGCATACTCAGCCCGACTCAGCCCTGTTTGTTGGCCCCGATAGAACCACAATTTTCTAGGGCCAGAAAAGAGGGGAAAAAGTGGCCCCGCGCCGGAACGAGGCCTAGTGGAAGCACAACCAAAAAAGGGGACGGCACGACACGGCACGCTTAAAGCGAGCTACGCGCTGCAATGGAAATGCGCCATTAGAAACTTACCTGGGCTCACATGGATGTATTTGAGATGTTGTCAGTGTGTCTAGAAGCTGATGCAGTGACATGATGTCGTGTAAGGAACGTTTGTTTATCCAGCACTTTTCAACACAAGGCCATTCAGAGTGCTTTACAACAATGAAAGACCTTAAGAGCATTAAACACATTAGAAACACTAAGAAGCAAAGATAATAAAACATGAACAAAAGTCACAGGGCAGTGTGAGATGTGAAGAGTTCAATTAAAGCAAACAGCAAAGTCTTCAGCCTGGATTTAAAGCAGTGAGAGCGGACCTGCAGGTCTCTGGGAGTTTGATCCAGATGTTTTGGGTTAGCTGAACCCCCTCAGGTGAAGATAGGGTTAGTGCAGTTACTGAGACGTCCTCTCACACACCTGTCCATCTACCTGTGTGCTTGATTATTTCAATAACACCCTATGCTCAATAACACACTACAGACAGACATGTTCACATTCATGGTGCAAAGGTCTCTTTAAATAAACTAAAGGATGAAACTGCACATGATCATATGATATAGATGATTTCAACAAGACGTCCTCTCTACCTCTGTCCCCATCACACACCTGTAAATGTACCTGTGTGTGTCCTCAGGGCCGTGTCTCAGCGGGGGGGCCTGCCCTCTCTGGAGCACCTGAACCTGTCGGGCTGCCCTCTGATCACCGAGGTGGGGCTGCAGGAGCTGGTGAGCGTCTGCCCCGCGCTCAACGACGAGCACTTCTACTACTGCGACAACATCGACGGTAACACACACTCACACACTCACACACTCACACACACACACACACACACACACACACACACACATCCACACTCACACACACACTCTCACACACACACTCTCACTCACTCACACACTCACACACACACACATCCACACTCACACACTCACTCTCACACTCACTCACACACTCACACACACTCACACACTCACACAGACACTCTCACACACTCACACACACACAGACACTCACACACACACACAGACACACTCACTCACACACAGACTCAGACACACACTCACACTCACACACACACACACACACTCACTCACACACACTCACACTCTCACACACACTCACACACACACTCACACACACATCCACACTCACACACTCACTCACACTCACTCACACACTCTCACACACAGACACTCACACACACACACACACACAGACACACTCACTCACTCACACTCAGACATACACACACAGACACACACACAGACACACACAGACACAGACACACACTCACTCACACACACACTCACTCACACACTCACTCCCCACTCACCTCCACACACACACTCACACACACACACTCTCACACACAGACACTCACACACACACACTCACTCACACTCACTCACTCACACACACACTCACACACACACTCCCACACACACACACACACACACACAGCTTCTGGGAAATCTAAAGGGTCTTTTTAAAGAGGAATATCCTGTACCTCAGACTGACCCTCCTACACAGCATGTGTCCCAGTGTAGGTGCCAGGTGCTCCTGAGGTGAGGGTGAGTGAGAGAACAAGAAACAGTATGATTTGTAAACGAGACATGATGAGCTCATTTCCATTTGATAAAGCCAGGTTTATAAGATTCAAAGGTTTCTACAGAGGATTTCTCTCTGTCTCTCTCCATCAATCATAAAACACTGCCATGAAACAGCTGCTGAATGAACTGTATCTTCTGAAAATATAGGCATTCTTTTTTTTCTGGTAAAGTTACGACTTTATTCTCAAAGAACATTGTTTTTTTGTTGTAAATTACAACTTTATTTTATGAAATTATTCAAAAAAGTTATGTTTCTCTGTGTGTGTGACGGTTTGTTTCTGAGTGTGTGTGATGGTGTTGTGTTTCTGTGTGTGTGACGGTGTGTTTCTGAGTGTGTGACGGTGTGTTTCTCTGAGTGTGTGACGGTGTGTTTCTCCGAGTGTGTGATGGTGTTGTGTTTCTGTGTGTGTGACGGTGTGTTTCTGAGTGTGTGACGGTGTGTTTCTGAGTGTGTGACGGTGTGTTTCTGAGTGTGTGATGGTGTGTTTCTGTGTGTGTGACGGTGTGTTTCTGAGTGTGTGACGGTGTGTTTCTCTGAGTGTGACGGTGTGTTTCTCAGAGTGTGTGATGGTGTTGTGTTTCTGTGTGTGTGACGGTGTGTTTCTCCGAGTGTGTGACGGTGTGTTTCTCCGAGTGTGTGACGGTGTGTTTCTCCGAGTGTGTGACGGTGTGTTTCTCCGAGTGTGTGACGGTGTGTTTCTCCGAGTGTGTGACGGTGTTGTGTTTCTGTGTGTGTGACGGTGTGTTTCTCCGAGTGTGTGACGGTGTGTTTCTCCGAGTGTGTGACGGTGTGTTTCTGAGTGTGTGACGGTGTGTTTCTGAGTGTGTGACGGTGTGTTTCTGAGTGTGTGACGGTGTGTTTCTGAGTGTGTGACGGTGTGTTTCTGAGTGTGTTTCGGTGTGTTTCTGAGTGTGTGACGGTGTGTTTCTGAGTGTGTGACGGTGTGTTTCTCTGAGTGTGTGACGGTGTGTTTCTGAGTGTGTGACGGTGTGTTTCTGAGTGTGTGACGGTGTGTTTCTGAGTGTGTGACGGTGTGTTTCTCCGAGTGTGTGACGGTGTGTTTCTGAGTGTGTGACGGTGTGTTTCTCCGAGTGTGTGACGGTGTGTTTCTCCGAGTGTGTGACGGTGTGTTTCTCCGAGTGTGTGACGGTGTGTTTCTGAGTGTGTGACGGTGTGTTTCTCCGAGTGTGTGACGGTGTGTTTCTGAGTGTGTGACGGTGTGTTTCTGAGTGTGTGACGGTGTGTTTCTCCGAGTGTGTGACGGTGTGTTTCTGAGTGTGTGACGGTGTGTTTCTGAGTGTGTGACGGTGTGTTTCTCCGAGTGTGTGACGGTGTGTTTCTCCGAGTGTGTGACGGTGTGTTTCTCCGAGTGTGTGACGGTGTGTTTCTGAGTGTGTGACGGTGTGTTTCTGAGTGTGTGACGGTGTGTGACGGTGTGTTTCTCCGAGTGTGTGACGGTGTGTTTCTGAGTGTGTGACGGTGTGTTTCTGAGTGTGTGACGGTTCTCCGAGTGTCTGACGGTTCTCCGAGTGTGTGACGGTGTGTTTCTGAGTGTGTGACGGTGTGTTTCTCCGAGTGTGTGATGGTGTGTTTCTCCGAGTGTGTGACGGTGTGTTTCTGAGTGTGTGACGGTGTGTTTCTCCGAGTGTGTGACGGTGTGTTTCGTGACGGTGTGTTTCTCCGAGTGTGTGATGGTGTGTTTGTTTTCAGGGCCTCACGGGGACACGGCCAGTGGCTGTCAGAACCTTCAGTGCGGCTTCAGAGTTTGCTGCCGCTCCGGAGAGTGACCCCCCTCCATCACCATCCCCCCCCCCCCTCCTCCATCATCTCTCCATCATCACCCCCCCTCCTCCATCATCACCCCCCCTCCTCCCCATCCTCCATCACGTCTCTTTTATTGCACTTTATCCGGGGTCACTGAGCCGTCACTTCCACAGGTTCCTGGACGAGACTAATAAAACATCCTGTCGTCCCCATCGTCCCCAGCTGGGAGGAACCTCTGATGGTTTGAAAATGTAAATACTGGTTCCTTATTATGATTTGTTTGGGTTTGGAAAAATAAAAAACCTCGAGAAGCGTAACCAACGTTTGTTTCCTGAAGCGTAACCAACGTTTGTTTATCCCTGTTTACTGATGATCATCTGAACTCTGCTGCTGGTTATAATCAGAGCTGCAACCACTGAAACATACCTATTGATGATTAAAAGCATAAATAAACACAAAGGACTATAAAGAGTTACAGAATATGCAACAGATGACAGCCTGACGTGCTTAGAGGCACTCGGTGGAGATGAAAACAAACTGAATATAATCATTGAAGGGGTCTTCCTGTAGGAAATGCATCTAAAGTCTGGAGCTGCTTTCCTCTGTTGTATATAACATTAAAGTGATCATTGAAACACATCAGCTTGGACTTTGAGACGGATGGTTATCTTTCTGGAGAATATCTGTTCGTTGCAGTCATGTTTTTTATCAGCTGAGGATCGACTGACATCAGCATCAATTAAACAACAGTGTCAACATGAAACCTGTTGACTCTGGTGCATTTACCAAACAATGAAATAACATGTGCCGGCAGGATGCAGCTTCATTATAACACCTGTTGATTTTCACCTGGCTCTGTTTTTATTCATGCTCTCTGATGTTGAGGGACACAACGGACCAATGTTCATAAGAGAGGGATTTCACGAGTGATTCATGTCTTTGTTCAAAAGTCCTGCATGAGGAGTTCTGGAAATGTTCATCAGATCAATAAAAGTCTCTATGGGTTCAAAATAAAACTGTTGTTGGTTATTTTGATGGAGACTTCTGGACAGATGGAAAAGTACACACATCCTTTACTCGAGTAGAAGTACACACATCCTTTACTCAAGTAGAAGTACACACATCCTTTACTCAAGTAGAAGTACACACATCCTTTCCTCAAGTAGAAGTACACACATCCTTTCCTCAAGTAGAAGTACACACATCCTTTACTCAAGTAGAAGTACACACATCCTTTCCTCAAGTAGAAGTACACACATCCTTTAGTCAAGTAGAAGTACACACATCCTTTACTCAAGTAGAAGTACACACATCCTTTCCTCAAGTAGAAGTACACACATCCTTTCCTCAAGTAGAAGTACACACATCCTTTACTCAAGTAGAAGTACACACATCCTTTACTCAAGTAGAAGTACACACATCCTTTACTCAAATAGAAGTACACACATCCTTTACTCAAGTAGAAGTACACACATCCTTTACTCAAGTAGAAGTACACACATCCTTTCCTCAAGTAGAAGTACACACATCCTTTACTCAAGTAGAAGTACAGATACTCGTGTTTAAAAATACTCTGGTGAAAGTAGAAGTACTGACTAAACTTCTTTACTCAAGTCAAAGTAAAGAGGCTTTGAAATGTACTTCAGTAAAAAGTACCCATAACTAGCAGCTGCTTTAAAGAGTACCTGACCTCCCTTTATATTAATAGAACAATAATGTCATTGTTAGCTAATGAATGTTTCCATGCTGAACAACGGCAACATGACAACGTTTTCATTGGTCCCTCTTCTTTAGAGAAGACCAGGAAATGATGGATACACGGATCGTGTTCAAATCAATAGGCACGCAATGACTCTAAATAATAATGATCACGCCACCAAACACACATTCAAACTAAAGGAACCAGCCTGTTTGGGAAATGTGAGAAGTAGAAAGTACAGGTATTTGGGTTCAACATGTAAGAAGTAGAAAGTACAGGTATTTGGTGTTCAACATGTAAGAAGTAGAAAGTACAGGTATTTGTGTTCAACATGTAAGAAGTAGAAAGTACAGGTATTTGGGTTCAACATGTAAGAAGTAGAAAGTACAGGTATTTGAGTTCAACATGTAAGAAGTAGAAAGTACAGGTATTTGTGTTCAACATGTAAGAAGTAGAAAGTACAGGTATTTGTGTTCAACATGTAAGAAGTAGAAAGTACAGGTATTTGTGTTCAACATGTAAGAAGTAGAAAGTACAGGTATTTATGTTCAACATGTGAGAAGTAGAAAGTACAGGTATTTGTGTTCAACATGTAAGAAGTAGAAAGTACAGGTATTTGTGTTCAACATGTAAGAAGTAGAAAGTACAGGTATTTGTGTTCAACATGTAAGAAGTAGAAAGTACAGGTATTTGTGTTCAACATGTAAGAAGTAGAAAGTACAGGTATTTGTGTTCAACATGTAAGAAGTAGAAAGTACAGGTATTTATGTTCAACATGTGAGAAGTAGAAAGTACAGGTATTTGTGTTCAACATGTAAGAAGTAGAAAGTACATGTATTTGGGTTCAACATGTAAGAAGTAGAAAGTACAGGTATTTGGGTTCAACATGTGAGAAGTAGAAAGTACAGGTATTTGTGTTCAACATGTAAGAAGTAGAAAGTACAGGTATTTGGGTTCAACATGTAAGAAGTAGAAAGTACAGGTATTTGGGTTCAACATGTGAGAAGTAGAAAGTACAGGTATTTGTGTTCAACATGTAAGAAGTAGAAAGTACAGGTATTTGTGTTCAACATGTAAGAAGTCAAAGTAAAAAGGAGAGCTGATCTGAGCCTGGTTAGTTACGGCCAAAGACACGTGCAGCAGCCACGAGGCGACACAGCTCCTACCCAACCAACTCTGAAGATCTCTCTCCAGTCCCATGTATTTAAATCTACCAGATAAAACAGGTAAATGCCTAAAACACCTATCAGCTGATGCCAGCAGGCCGTAGAAACTGAGAGGTCAGGGTTATGGGCCTAGGACATTTACTTTATTTCAGTAAGAATTGAAAAGCTGTTAGTGTCTCAACACAAAGAGGAATCATTTAAAGTTGGGCTGCATTTTCTTTCCTCTATAATTATTTTTTAAATTTTAACAACTTCTTTTTGTATGTGTAAAATAAAAAAAATGGTAGACATTGACACAAACATTAAAGGAGGTTTGAATTACAAAAATTACTTTGAAATTTAAAACAATTCGTTTTTTTACATAAAGACAGAAATGCCAACATGTGGGCCAACAGTCAGAAACCTCCCTGTGAAGCGTTGGCGCCCCCTAGTGGAGGATGGAGACCCTCAGTGGGCATGAAACACTACAGAGCATCATTTCAGGAAGAAGAGATTTATTGAACTGTATAACACATTATATAAAAACATTGAATAATAAAGCCGCTGTGCAGGTCAGGTGCGTACGAGCGAGGCCAGGTAGACCCACACGGAGAGCACGTTGTTGGGGTACGGGTGCACGTACACCGCCAGGGCGAACTCCACGTTAGGAGCGTGCACGTTGTGGACCCCTGTGCTGAACACCGCCTCCACGATGGGACGCACCTCCGAGAAGGGGAGGTGCAGAGGGAAGCCCGAAATCTGAGGAGAGAGAGAGAGAGAGAGAGAGAGAGAGAGAGAGAGAGAGA